CAGTTCTCCTGTTGCTTAAGAGTCGTGCAGGACTGAGTAAATCCACGCTCTGGGGCTGTCTCTCAAAAACAAACTTAAGTATGTGAAAAGAGCCTTTATTGGAGGGGGGTGGGGGTGGGGGGAAGAAAGGGGGTTAAAAAATAAATTGCCCTACACATTCAGATCAGTAAGATCTATAACACTGAACAAAAGCAGGCATTCAAGCATTTGATAAACGCAGCAAACCCATCATACTCTCTGCGCTGTATTAAGGAGTGTATTAGTTCTTTCTAAAGGGCAGATTGAAGTGGAACTTTGTGTACTGCTGAGCAGGGTCTTCTTTCCCCTTCATTTGTGGCCTTTAGAAGTTACTTCAAGTGCATTAACAATCTCGCCAATGCTGGAAGGTTGACAAGAGTTGGGATTCAATGTTGATCCACCTTTTTTTCCAGCTGTTCAGCCGAAGCTATTGGAAGACATGGTTTTCCCAGCACCCATAAAGAGCAAGTTAAGAAAAACAACTATTAAAAATACAAGTATTTTATAGAATGACTGGTACTGAGGAATTCTGTCATCCCTCCTGCGTTGAGTGCCTAGCCTCCTGCCTACAGGATCATGAAAATTAGGAGCCGACAATGGGGGAAGGGAAGGGAAGAGAAACGGATGTTGCAGACACTATTAAGAGTAGTTGTCTGGCAGCATTATGGCTCCAGACAAAGAAATGTTCATGAGTAACAGCATGTGGTGAATTGACATATCCTGCTTAGGTGGCATGAGATGCATTAGTGTTATCAATTATTCGCACTGCGAATCACATTTACTGGAATTTAGCACTGCTGACATGATGCGTTGGTCATTCTTCTCTGCGAACTGCTTACGCCATTGCATGATCCTTACACTGAAGCTTCACTTCACGAGTAACTTTCTTTTAAGATTTCTCATTACAAAATATACAACCAGAACAGACAAAGGCAACACCCATACATATATTGGCTTTGAGTTTCTACTTGGGACAACATATTCAGTTGCACAGTTTCGCATAATACCATTGTTCTTAACGTTTGGATCTATAACGGGAAGCAACTGTGATGGAAACAGGTATTCTTGGGGAATTTCCTCCCAAAACCACCAATAGAGCTGTAAATTGGATGGCTGATAGATCAACTATGCATGTGGACAAATAATTTGTTGACACAAAGGTGGTGAGGGGTGAGGTTGAAGGAAAGAGAAAAGTGAGGAGGAAAGCTTCAGTACATACAGTCACTACAGCAATTCCATATGAAGCTCTAGAAACCTTGTGCAGGTTGTAGGTGCTACATCTAATCCAACATTATTATTAATGACATCCAAGGGCCTTCACATTCTGCACTAGTCTGAAATTGGTTTAACTAGAAACCTAATTAAGCTGCCGCTATGCAATTGATGAAGTCTGTAGCTTTATTATTTAGAATAAATCATCTCCAAACACATGAAAGTTATGCAAAACCAGTACCAATACCAGAATGGTTCTGTTGAAGTTCTGTGAGTACTGGTAATAGAAGAGAAATATAATTCAACTGAAAATCTCTTCAAATTCTCATCGAGGATACAATTCAATACAAAACTGCATTTGTATAGCACCTTTCACGTCGGGAGGATGTCCAAGTCCCCCATTACAGTACCAGTCGATACAGAATGTACTGGACCAGTAACAGAGAATGTTTGTAACAATTTATCCCTAAAGCTCCAAAAATGTACATAACGTAGTTGTCGGTTCCGATTCCGTTGAAAGAAAAACCAAGGACAAACTTTTTAAAAATTCCTTTCCTCATTCGCAGCCAGGAGACTGTCAACATTTTCAATTGCAATATTTCCCCCTCCTTTACTAAAACCATCAGAAGGGCCATTTCCAACCTCATCAGCTAAAACACATCACAAAACATCAACGCACAATTTTTTATTTTTTTTTAGCCATTTGAGATTCATTTCTAATATTTGGATTACAAGTCCTCACTGTAGTTACAAGGTAACTTTATTTAAGAATATAAAACTAGTTAAGACCAGCCTTAGTTTCTATTGTAAGCAGACATAAAACTAATTATAAATGTAATTTTGTTATTGTTGTTGATCTGGGGGCATTTTTGATGCATACAGAAAACACCATAATTTATTTGTTGTTGATCTGGGGGCATATTTTGTTGTATAATCTTTTGGCCTAACAGATATTTTCTTGCCAATGGCTTCTCAGATAGTACCATATGCTACTTGTACACAGTTAACACATACACTGCTTGTACAGAGAATTACTCTTCAAAAATAAATTTAGGTTCATGTTAATTCACAAATACAGGTACCTACTCTTATGCCAGGTCACTGTAAGTTACCTTATTCTACTACCCATTGTTAGACCATAGAGCTCAAGATTATAACTGTTACTTATTATAACACAATTCACCAGTTGGAAACACATTTACAGCCCTTTAATGCCCTATCAAATGCAAGAATAATAATAATAATATGAGTAACAGCACAATTGAGTTATGCAAAGCAGAGGCTAATGTAGCCATTGAAGTGAAAGCATTCCGATCTGCTTCTTCTGTTNAAAAATAGTACTGAAATGAACCAGCATTGAAGTTCATAACAAACCTGGTATAGCGTACCATATATGGAGTGTCATATTTAGGAAAATAGGAATGTACAGGATCAAAATTAAAGCATCACAATCCATCTGACTATCAGAAGGGAATGTTTTGTTGTATAATCTTTGGGCCTAACGGCCATTTTCTTGCCAATAGCTTCTCAGCTCGTAGCATGTCAGTCCCTAAGTTCATCAACAGACAATTCTCATTCTCTCTTGTACATTCAGGCAGTTACTTTGCCAAAAATCCATCCAACTTTATCTTAAAATATCAGAAGTAGATATCTTAGTCCACACTATTATTCAAGTCTGCAACAAAGAAAAGCACTTAGAGTACAGTACTTTGCACCTAACCCTGTAAAAATAATAAGTCTTAATAACCAAGAAAGCTTTTTAATGTTGATGATATTTAAGTACCCATGAACCAGACCAGATGTTGCCAACTTCTCACCATAGTGCAATGCAACTCACACTGTAATGTAGTTTCAGAACAAACTTTCAATTGCTGCCTCTTCAGTTTTAATGCCAAGTAAAAACTAGTAATTCAATTTGTTATTTCAGCACTAATAAATAAGTTAATTCCTTGCTGCAAGCAATCACTGCAAAACCTCTAATTTAGCTAGGCAAAATGTAGCATATCTTTGGTGTTTTTTAGGACACAATAATTAGGGTATAGAACAAGGGTGGGAATCAGCAACATTTAAAAAATCAGACCATAAAACCATTTGAAAAAGCGTGGCATATTCATGTAAGATGTGCCAACAATTTTAAGCCAGCTCCCTCAGGAAATAAGTTTAATTTTAGAAAAATAAAAAGAAACCAAATCCACATCAGGCCTTAACCACATGAAAGAGAAACATCAGATTTCACGGTTTCAGGCACAACTTTTTCTAATGAAAGGTTGTGAAAACATTAAACTCTTTCTCTCTCAGGTGAGAATGAACTGTTGTGCGCTTTTCCAGCACATTTTGTTGCAGAACAGCATCCAATCCTGGTTAGTTTACACCAGTATTTGAACAATCACTTATTGAAACTTAGATGGTCAAAAGCTGATAGCTCAGTGCATTACTGAAGTTGAAAAGTGTTCTACTAAAGTCAACAACGGCTTCGAGGACTCAAACCGAATTGGATCTATGGCCAAAGCAAGAGTAGAGGCACTGTGTTGTATTAATGGTGTGTGCATTTCTCACCTACTTGATCATTAATGGGATCCAGAATAGTTACTTCACAAAAGTCGACTTCCACATCCGTCTTGATCACTAAAAATTACCGGTAAGCATAAAGCTTTAAAAAGTTTATAAACTTCCCCACTCTGCAGCAAGCAGATTACTTTGCATAGGGAACTGAAGACGCATTTGATTTGGCTTTCTTGCAATCAGCAAAAAAAGAACACACACCTCACTTTTTAAAAGACACAAAACCGATAGGGACCCTTCTTCCTGCTGGAAACCTCTTGACCGAGAAGATCGACGATTAGCCTGTCATTCAATGTCCAGAACTAGCGGTTTCATACAATGTTTGTGTTATTGTTTGGCGTTATCGATACTGTTTGGAGTGCTTCAGTGTTTTAGACCATATCAAGTAGCTTTTACTCTTTTGTTACATTTCATGACTGAGTTAGCGATTCGCACCCATCACTACGTCTCTCCTACCGAGGAGGGAAACACAATACGAAAACGTTCATCTCGAACTTGCTTGACCACATTTTGCTGCCCACCCCCACCCTCCCCCCACCCTCCCCTCCCCACCCCCACCCTCCCCCCCCCCCCACCTCCCCTCCCCCCACCCCCTCTCACAGTAACAAAGCCAGAGAGAGACAGAGCTGCAATCCAGATCGCTCCTTTGTACGGTACACATCCGATTGCAAGTCCATGTGTTCTCCATAAGTTGGGAAGCAGAGGCAATACGCAGCAGTTAATAACCCTCCCTGTCAGACTCTGCCCCCAATCATCCCCCCCCCCCCCCCCCCCCGACACCCACACCCCCCAAAAAAAAGTGGTTACAAGGTTTCTCTAGATTTACTACTCTTATGTTAAACTTTGCGTAACTTTGAATGTTGGATCGCTTCAGAGTAAAACCAAACAAAAAAAAAGTGGGGGGAGGGAGAGGGAGGGGTAAGGGGGGGGGGGGGGAGAGGCGACATTTGGTTTCTTTCTCAACAGACAACAGAAACGTGGAAACTCTCAAGGAGTGGAGACGGTTTGTCACCAGTGAACCAGTCTTTCCAATGTGGTGGTGAAATGGGGATGGTGGGGGGGGGGGGTGGGGGGGGGAGCGCTGGGGGAAGGGAGTTTGAAGGGTTATTTGCTAAATTAAAAAAAGAGATTTAAGTTCAGAGGTGGTCCTGGGAAGAAACCCCCTCTACCCCCCCCCCCCCCCCCAACCCCCACCAACCCTCACTTACCTCGTACGACCAAACGCACTGAACGCCTGCGAACCTCCGCACACATCTGCCCACTTCCACGTCCTCGTGGGTGGTGTACATCTCCCGCAGGCACTCGCCGATGTGCGGCACCATCCGGCGCAGCACCTCCCGGCTCATGATGACGCCGGGGCCTCCCATGCAGAAGTTCTCCCCGGGCTCCAGGGCCAGTTTGCCCAGCTCGTCCGACGTGCCGAGGCCGGTCTGGCCCAGGTACAGCGGTTGGCTGCTGTTGAGCGTCCGGAGGAAAGCCTCCAGTTTGTCGCTTCGGATGTACACGTCGTCGTCGGCTCTCATGAACCACTCGTACCTGTCCAGGTAGTGGTCGTGCATGTACTTGAGCATCATGAAGGACTTCTTCTGCGGCGGGTACGAGTCGTCCACCCCGGGCAGGGCGATCAGGGGGATGGGCAAGGACGGGTCGGAGCCCTCGCTGGAGAAGAACTCCACCGTGCCCGGGATGTCCTGAGCCCAGGTCTGATGAGCCGCCACCGCCCGGTTCTCCAGGTACTTCTGAGCGCTCATCACCCCCACGTAGAGAAAGCGGGTGGACCGGGGCGCCACTGCCAGCGCGTCGCCGCCCCCCTCATCCCCCCGGCCGCCCGGCTTCGAGCTCAGGCCGCCCGCCTGGGGCTGCCAGCCCAGCGCCCCGCCCCTTGCGGAGTCCTTGCGGGCCGTGTGCGGGCACACGCTGCTGACTTTGCGCCGGTGGCCCTTGGTGAACTCGCTGGCCCGGGGCAGGATGAGCCGGGAGGCGAGGGTGAACCCGACCACCAGTCCCAGCAGCACACTGAGCCAGGAGCGCCGGCTCCTCCCGGCCATCCCGCTCCCCCCTCCCTCCCTCACTCCCTCCTCCCTCACTCCACTCCCTGTCTTCTAATGCAACTCAATGTATTCTCTCTCTGTATCCCCCCCCCCCCACCCCACCCCACACACCCACCCCTTTCCCCCCACACCACCACCACCACCTCTGTGTCTGGTCTTTCTCTCTGTGTCAATTGCTCTCCCAAGTCCGAGGCTTTCCTTTTTCTCTCCTCTCCTTTTCTTTCTTTCTTCTCTCTCTTTCCCCCCCTCCCTCCCTCCTTCCCTCCCCAAACACCCCCAACCCCCACCCCCCCCCACACACACACCCACACACACACACACACACACACCCTTCTTCCTTACACCATAACTACTTCGGGACCAGGCGAAGAAGGCGCTTCTCCCTTTCTCTTACCGCCTCCTCCTCCTCCTCCTCCTGTCTGAAGTGAAAGGAAGGGCTTCATATCACGGCGCGGCCTCGGTCCGCGACGCCCCGTCTCTTCGCTGCGCTCTTCCCCCGCCCCGAGCCTCGCTCGCCCCGCGAACCCGCCGCATCCTCCCTCTGTCTCTCCCTCTCCCTCCCTCCCTCTCTCTGTCTCTCTCTCTCTATCTCTCACCAAACCCCCCCCACACTTTTTTCTCTCTCTCTCTCTCTCTCACACTCACTCCCCCCTCTCTCTCGCTCTCTCTCTCTGTGCAGCTCTGACTCGCTCACTTCGCCATTGTGTGGCTCCGAGAGACGTCACCGAGCGCGTTCTTTAAAGCGTTTTGTGGCCGCGCGCGGCACCCGTAGCCCGACCCTGATTGGCTCCGGGAGCGAAGTGAAGTGTGTGCCGTCTCCTTAAAGCAACACTGTAGCCCCGACCCCCGGCCCTCCCCTCCTCCTCTCCCTCTCTCCTCCCCTCCTCTTCCTCCTCTCCCTCTCTCCTCCCCTCTTCCTCTCCTCTTCCTCCTCTCCCTCTCTTCTCCTCCTCTCCTCCCCCTCTCCTCTTCTCCCTCTCTCCTCCCCTCCCTCTCTCCCCCCCTCCTCTTTCTTTGCTCCCCTCCTCTTCTCCTTCTCCTTCTCTCCCCTCCTCCTCTCTCCCTTCCTCCCCTTCTTCCTCTCTCCTCCCTTCCTCCCCTCCTCCTCTTCTCTCTCTTCTCCTCCTCTTCCTCTTCTCCCTCTCTCTTCTCCTTCTCCCCTTCTCTCTTCTCCTCCTCCCTCCATTTCCATCTGCTGTCTCCACCGAGTCAGGGCCACCTGATGTAAAGCGATCCACCCACCATCCATCTCTAACCATCCTCCGCATCATTCCCCTTTGCATCGGTGATTCAAAGTTTTTGCTCTCCTCACTAAGGAGAAACAAAGTCATTTGCAGAATTCATCCCCTGCAACGGTCCACGCTTTCCAGCAATAATTGGGTGTCTTCTTGACTCCAACTGGGACAGTTATTATGATTCTCTACCCCCCCCCCCACCGACACACACACATAACATTCACAATATGTGACACGTTAATTGATAACTGCGGTGTTGTATGTTTTGTTTCTGTACTAACAATATTTGAGACTGTCTTTTCTGATGGATTTTGCTTTTTGCAGTTCTGCTGTTCGCGTAGTTGTTCTTCCTGTAACCTTTTTTTTTCCTGCATTTGTGACGATCTGAATGGAAATGAACATTGGGTTCATTTTTTTTTAATCAAAGTGCATTGATCACTTAATGTCAGACTTGTAGTGGCAATGCATGAGGCTGACGTGTCTTGCCACCCGTTCACTTGCATCTGAAAGGAGAGGGCTGTGCTGAATGCGGCCGACACGGTGCTACGTCTCCAACGCGCAAAGCCCCTGTGTAACTTGGAAAGGTTGGACCTGTTACTCTCCACGTGCAGTCTGGTCATAATGTACATACTGTAATTCTTTGCAATAAACTTAGCTCGATCTGCACGTAGCTTACCACCCCTCCTTTTTTTTTTAACTGACGTGTTACCAAATGTCTGTAAGTTTACACTTGCTTTAGCTTCCGATGCTTCAAAATATCGAATTGAGGACAAACTTGATTAATATCTTTCACTGACCTCAGTTTACACAATGAGATGGAATTAGCCATATCGGAATGTTTTTTTTTAATAATCTAAATTGAATATAAGCGTTATATCGTCCTCGGTGAAGTGGCTATTTGTATCGTGAACTTGTGAGCGACAGTTATGTCTTAACATTTTCTGCCGTTCCCAGTTCAGTTATGTTATGGCAAAGCAGCTGTTCCTGTGTGGCATTCCAGCAGTGAGGTTTTCCTGTGTAATTAGCGTTATTCGTTATTTCACTTTGAAGTATTTGGCATGAATCTACAGAGGCAACTTACAAAAACCCCCCCACTCATCCTATACTTGTAAAACAGTTCATATTGAAAGGCTGTTTTAATCAAAGCTTAGTTCTCAATAAATCCCAGGTTGCACAGATGGCAACTGAATGGAATGTGGAGTAAAGTACTCCTGTAAACCTTATTGTGCTGCACTCTGCAGGTACAATTAGGATAATTAAACATTTATGTTTAATAACATGTTTGCAACCTCAGGGGGAAAAATTACAATCACGACGTTTACTGCATATGAAAACAACCAACAGGTGAGGATAACAATAGATGCCCTGTTCAGCTGTTATAACATCAGAACAAGCATCCTCACCAAGCTTGCTCATTCTGGAAACAATGAGCTTTTTTCATACAACAAAGTACATATAGAGGAGATCTGCAAGGTCATGGAGGGGTCTGAAAGCAAGGATAAGGATTTTGAACTCTATCCTCTGGAGGATGGGGAGGTAGTGGAGCTGGGCGAGGTTGGGCGATGATAGGGACACAGGGCTTGGTGCCGGAGAGCACTTGAGCTGCAGAGTTCTGGTTGTAGCAGCTTGTAGAGGGAAGAGCTGGGAAGACCGAGAAGCAAGGTGTTAGCATAATCGAGCCTGGATGTAATGAATGTGCGGGTGAGGCTCTCGGCGGCCTAAGGAGAGCGGTAGTGGCAGACCTGAGCAATGCAGTGGAGGTGGGGGAAGGCAGAACAGTTCGTGGCGTGAATGTAGGCTATAAAGAACAGTTGAGGGTCAAACAAGACACAAAGGTTCTGTACTGTTTGCTTTTACAATCCCTAATTTATTCTTTTACGATCTAATTGGAACTCATTATAGAATATAAAAACTAGAAGAGATACTTATGACTCTTGTCAAAGAAAGATTCCACACCTCTGTCAGGGATTTGTATCTCTCCAATGTATTGCAACATCAAAGTTCCACATTAAACAAATTGTACATACAATGTAAACTGAATTGCATCAGCTACTGTGTTGCCTCTCTAACAATAACAATCATTGCATTTGATACAGCACCCTTCCATGTCGGGAGGACGTCTCAAAATGCTTCACAGGGTTTGCTGTGAGGTGTAGTGACTCTAGATTTTGTAAGCGAACACAGCAGATAATTTGCACAACAGCACTCAATCTTGTTTCATACATTTCAAAAAGTGTCCCAACTAAAAGAACAAGTTTAAATCAAACTCCATCAAACCAAGTCTTAAAGTATAAGGTGTTCCGTAGTCTGTGCAAGTTAGATAAACTCTGAAACAATTCATCACATTTTGTGCTCTTCCTTCTTTCTACCCCTTTATTGACTTCTGGATCATTTTAACAATGTAAACACTATTATATTTAGTTAAAAAGTTGCAATGCCATTTTTAAATTGGTTTCATTGCAACAATGTAAAGGTTTGCATCATTCTGCAATGCGTTACAAACTCACTAGAAATCCAGTCTCACAGCCAGATAGTAGTCTTACAGGCAATGAATCAAGAGACGTCAAGAAAATGCCTTAATAACTCCATACACATAGAGCATTTTACTACAGAGTACAGTACACTTCTGTTTATCTGACTCCCAGTAATCTGAACTGCTTAATTTTACGAATCATGTTTATATTCCCAGCGCAACTTTGCTTTAGATTCCAGTTACTTGAACTCTTGTTTATCTAATATAGTCTCTGCAGTGGTTTGGATAAAGTGCACAGTCAGTTACTTTGACGTCACTGTAAAATCACCAGGGTATCTGTAAATGCTTCCAAAGTCTGAATTCTGCTTTCAATTCAACCTTCAACCTCAAAATTACATGATCACTTCACTCCAAATAGTAGTACCAGTGTAAAAAGGGTACAATATCTCCTAATCCCCAAGGTAATTTTTCTAAGTAACAAGCATCCAACACAGCAACACTAAGAATAAAGTTAATCCCTTGGTGTTTATCATTGAACATTCTGTAATTGGAACGGGGTGACCCCTTTGACACCCCCTTTCATAAAAAAACGTTGTGATGTGCACTAATATACATCAACAGTTACAATGTGCATTTATAAAAGACCTTTCACATAGAAAGTGCTTGATGATCACTGCATTTGATAAGGCAAAGCACCTTATGTTGGTAGGAAGTCTCAAAGCACTTCACAGGACTTACTGTCAAGCGTAGTGACTGCTTATTTTGTAGGTGAACGTGGCAGCCAATTTGCGCACAATGTACCACACACCGACACAAGGTGAACTAACAATTTTATTGGCCAGATTGTTGGCCAGATAATAATAAATAACAATCCTCACATTTGATAGAGCACCTCATTACATCATTAAAACATCCCCAAGCACTTCACAGGATGTACTGTAAAGTGAATTGACTGTGTAGTTTGTGGGGGAAAAAATAAAAATCAGTATCTGTTAAATAAAGACCAGGAGAAACTCCCTTCTTTTTGAATAGTGCCATGGGATCTTTAATGTCCACCTGAACAGGTAGATGGGGCCTTGGTTTAACATCTCCTCAACATCTCTGACCATGCACTGAATTGCTGGCGTATCAGCCTGCATTGTGAACTCAAATCCTCGGTGTGGGGTTTGAATCCACAATCTTCTGACTCGAGAGGAAAGAGTGCTAACAACTGAGGCAGGTTGACAGCTGGATACACCAATGAAGATGGAATGACATAAGCTACAGGAGGATCACCAAAAGCTTGGTAGGTTTTTACCTGAAGTTTGAAGTCAGGGAGAGGGGTGTGAGATGGAATGGATTTTAGTAGCGTTTTGAAAGCGGGGAAAGAGGATGAGGGAGACTTTGAGGAATAAAATTGTCTATGGGGTGAAAGTAGCATTGATCCGTGCAAATTGGAGGGAAAATATCAGAGACAATTCAGAAAATTCCCGTTACGTCCAAAGAAATACTCCATGGGACGCAATGATTTCTGTTCTTCTGGGGCCGGTAGAGGGATATTGTGAGCGGAGGGAAGGAGACCAGGGTTGAATATTGGGAGAGAGTTTTCTGTTTGCAGTTTACAAATGCAATCAATCACTTAAAAAGCTTTCAGAGCTGAGCAACAAGAGTACTCAGATGCCCTCTTGTGGCTAATGGGAAAATCTCATCACCTCAAGTGACATTTGTGACAAATGCTAAATCAGCTTGTTTTAATGTAAATGGTACTCACAGGCAAACTACAGACCATAACAGTTTAGAAGAGTTAGACAGCAGACATCCATGGATATTAGAGTAGAATTATGTTATACATTACTAAATCACAGAATTATGTTAACAGATAAATATGCATTTGAAATTAATTCCTCCAGTCTACTTGCAATATTTATGATGAAACATCTATAAAAAAGAAAAATCAACACAACTGGAATTTTAGATAGAGGATTTTTAATAGATAATGCAAACAAAACGTTTTGATGCTTTTAGTCATCAGTTAAAACACAACTACTCATTTTGATATTCACTACGCACATTTATGTTCCCTTAGTAGAAAAAATACATCTCGCACTATCCCTGTCCAATTTCAGACATCCTCATTGGTTGGGGAACCATTTACAAGGATGGCGTCATTCATAGCTGTCAATTTCATCTTGCTTCAGTTCAATAAAGTTTGAAATTCTAAACATAGTTACTTCAACGGGATGGGGTGGGGGGGGGGGGGGGATTAAAAAGAAGGCAGCTTCTATATTTTAGTAAAAACAAATGTAAAAGTAATTTTGCTATTTGCCACGCAAGTTAAAACTAAAGACTGAAATTTTTGAAATTAACGAGCATTGGTTTCAAGATAGTGCATCCAGGATTTCCTGTCAGTGCAAACTGGTGCAATCAGCACTGACTGTACTTTAACCTCATCCACCAGAAGATGGTCCTCTACGATTTGGTCTCCAAGTGCACGACCCACCACCATCTCCCGTGAGAGCATTAAAACCTAGAAATACAAGTATTTAAGGTTTGAAACATCAGTTTTATGCATTCCACGTCACATTTACCTTGTGTAAAAGAACACAGTTTCACACTCTTGACACATGCAACATGCTCTTGAGGGCTGGTAAACTCACTACCCCATTTATTTTCCAATCTAAGCTAGGAGGGTAACAGGATGTACAATTTTGACGATCATACAATGTTTGGCTACAATTCACAAAAATCATAACCAGTACACCTATACCTCAGCAATGGAAAATTTAGTGCAGCAAAAAGCAAACGTATGACACAAAGCTATACAAGGCATTCTGACTCTTAACCTCAAGTCTCAGTAATGACATTGGGTTGTTTTGTAATTATCATTGTTTTGTGTTGCAATTTTTTTGATAAATAATTCCTAGCAAAAGATTGACAAACTATTTTAAAATTGATCAAAATATGATAAAACAATTACTGTATTATCATGACTCCTATCCTGTAAACGTGCCTTATTGGCTGCTTTACTGGAATAGTGCAACACGTCAAGTCTCTTGCTCATATGAAACTGAATCAGTAAGAGTCCTTCTGATATCTTTTTCTATCCAACGAAATGCCTCAATGTGATATCTTGCTATGCCCAGGCAAATTGCTGTCAAATTTTAGTTTAGCTACAGCAAGTTAGCATCTCAACACACATCGATCAGTCCAGCTTCGAAAGAGGCAGCCCATTTTCGAGCAGCTTCAATGGTGCTTTGTGAAGGCCCACCATGTTTCCAGTATAGTGAAGACAATAGTAATGATCCTTGCATTTAATATAGCGTCTTATCACTTATCACTTCAAGAAGTCTCAAAGCACTTCACAGAATATACTGTGAAGTGAATTTACTGTATATTTTGTGGGCGATATTCTGACATTAAAAAAAATTAGTGTATTAATTGAACAAACAAAGAAACGGTCAATGATAATAACAGAGAGAAAGAATTCTGTACTTACCAGTCGCCAGGGATTTTTTGCCAGACTTTGGCTTTGTAAGGTTAGATGAACTAGGCTGTCCTGGTTCCTGCTAATAAAGATAAATTTAACAGGTTGTTTAATTTTTAGAACATCAACACTCCAATAGTACAAAATAGAAAAAAATATCTATTGTAAATAGCTAAAAGCAAATTACTTGGTTGAATCTTGTATTTGCTCTGTAGCTTCTTCCTTCCTGTATGCTCTCCCATGCTTCTATTTTCTGTCTTCTCTTCGCTTCTTCGAGCTGTGTAAAGATAACAATAGTGTTACTTGAAATTTTAAAAAATAAAACAATTTATACCCAAAGAAACCAGGCCCTGTATGATGATAAACCAAAGTAGCATCTCACACACTTGCTACCAGGCTGTAACTTGACATCAGTATCCTGCTCGTATTTATTAAGCACTCACTAGATTTTGTTTTTCTTTGTATTTCACTGCTTGGGTATCCAGCTCTGCCTGCATTTTGCGCCGTGCAGCTTCCATCGCTTCTTGTTGTTTCACAATTAAAAGCGGTTCTAGTTTAGAAACAGAAAAATAGGTTATAAGAGAAAAACTAGTGGTCAAAAGATCTTCATTTTGTAATGTCACTTTCTTGAAATGTCATCTAGAACTGACCTGATTATTTGAGAAAAAGATTCTGTGACTTTTATTGAAAAATAGAACCATACTATTTTAATAATAAACATTAAGAAACACTTCTTAAAAAATCATGAATCATGTGACTGTTGACATAAGCACTTGAATCATTAAGAAACTTTAAATGGAATAAAGAATTAAAGACAAATCAACTTCAAACGCATTCAGGCAAGACACCAAGATGAGGAGGCAATGCTTCATTCAAGGCTGTCACTTTTTCCCCACAAAATATACAGTCAATTATTTTACAGTATATTCTGTGAAGTGCTTTGAGATGTCTCGACGATGAGATAAAATGCTACATCAAATGTTATTATTTGTTATTGAAAATGACCATATAAGATTTTACAGTACCCAGATCAGTATGTGTTTGATGTGGTCTCCTGGACTGCATCATGTCACTCAGCTTTTGAAGGAGTAAGTAAATGGCAATGCAGCCAAAGAAGATGTACCATCCATAACTGGAAATAATCAGTGTCCCTGGAAGGAATAGCAAACTTCAGATCAGTGAAAATATATATATTTTAAATAACTCAAGTCTGCTCGCTCTCTCTTATTCACAAGGCTCTCCATCCCTTGCTGTTTCTCCTACAACCCACCAGCTCCATATGGCTTCTCTTATGAAAAAATGACCTCTTCAATCAAGCCTGTGGTCATCTCCCTCTTACCCCTACCCTCACCCTCCATGTCTTATGGTCTCTGTGAAGTGCTGCTTCGAGCCATTATTGTACGTGACAATCTCTATATAAATGTATTGTGTTTTCACTGCACTCACACCAGTGTTCCCTCACCTCCCTCTCCAAGGGCTGTCCCTCATCACTGTCACCTCCCCACCCCCTCTCCCTCATCACTGTCACCTCCCCACCCCCTCTCCCTCATCACTGTCACCTCCCCACCCCCTCCCTCATCACTGTCACCTCCCCACCCCCTCCCTCATCACTGTCAACCCCCCATCCCCTCTCCCTCATCACTGTCACCTCCCCACCCCTCCCTCATCACTGTCACCTCCCCACCCCTCTCCCTCATCACTGTCACCTCCCCACCCCCTCTCCCTCATCACTGTCACCTCCCCACCCCCTCCCTCATCACTGTCACCTCCCCACCCCCTCCCTCATCACTGTCACCCCCCACCCCCTCCCTCATCACTGTCACCCCCATCCCCTCCCTCATCACTGTCACCCCCCACCCCCTCTCCCTCATCACTGTCACCTCCCCACCCCCTCTCCCTCATCACTGTCACCCCCCATCCCCTCTCCCTCATCACTGTCACCCCCCCATCCCCTCTCCCACATCACTGTCACCTCCCCACCCCCTCTCCCTCATCACTGTCACCTCCCCACCCCCTCCCTCATCACTGTCACCTCCCCACCCCCTCTCCCTCATCACTGTCACCTCCCCACCCCCTCCCTCATCACTGTCACCTCCCCACCCCCTCTCCCTCATCACTGTCACCTCCCCACCCCCTCCCTCATCACTGTCACCTCCCCACCCTCTCCCTCATCACTGTCAACCCCCCATCCCCTCTCCCTCATCACTGTCAACCCCCACCCCCTCATCACTGTCACCCCCCCACCCCTCATCACTGTCACCCCCCCCCACCCCCTCATCACTGTCAACCCCACCCCATCACCTCCCCACCCCCTCTCCCTCATCACTGTCACCTCCCACCCCCCAATCAGGGGTTCTCCCTCATCACTGCCCCCAACCCACCGGGGCCACTTCATCACTGCCCGCCCCCCCCCACCGCCCCCCCAGGCCATCTCTCTCTCTCTCTCCCCTCTCTCCGTCCCTCATCACTGCCCCCCACCCCCGGGCTCTACCTTCTGTGTACAGGTACAGGAGGACGCTGGGGACCGGGGTGGGGGCGCCGAGGGGGTCTCGCTGCTCGGGCGGGGGATTGGCCATCACGAGCTCCGCGCTGCACCAGGTGACGCCACAAATACAAACGGCGCTTCCGGTTTCCGCCTCGTGACCCATTGCGCTGACGTGTCACCCGAGCGGCGCATGCGCAGCGACTCCTGCCAGTGACTCCTTACCCCCTCTCCCCCCCCCCACCACTCCCCCTCCCCACCACTCAGCACCTTGTCTTGCATTGGTGCATTAAGTGCAGCGGCCGTGCATTTGCACAAATGCAAACTGCAGCCGAGGCACCGGGAGTATTGGTTCCTACCTCGTCCCTCACTAACCCCTATCCTCGCGCCTCTCTTTTTTTTCTCCCCATTACGCGCAGTCACTCCACTTGGCGGCGCGTTCCCCCCCCCCGAAGCGCTTCCGAGACGTACTCAACCTCAGGGGCTGCTGTCAAGTGCGAGGATTGTTATCACATCCACGGTTTTGTTCCCTAGATTTCTAATTCACGTCATTCCGTAGCGCAGGTGGGGCTGGTGGGTTTGCCCCACACACACACACACATAAAGTCACTGCACTTTATAGCACGTGGTGCGAAGCTCTTTGGGGATCCTCCTGAGCGGGAAGGCGCTTACATCAAATATAAGGATTCTTATTATACTTTTGCTTGATCTTTAAACCGCCAAATGTTCAAATGTTCATTGTCACATAGTCAACCTCTCCCGTTTCCCCTCTTCTCTTCCCGTACTATTTACTTTTACCTTTTGGGGTAATTTTTTAATACGACAACAGAATTTAATAATAATAATCCTTGCATTTGATATTACACCTTTTCATGTCTTCTATATGTCTCAAAGCACCTCTCAGAATACACAGCAAAATGAATTGACTGTATATTTTGTGGGCAAAATGTGGCAGCTAATTGTGATTGGCAGTGCCCCACAAACAGTCGTGGATTGAGTGACCAAATTAGTGTTTTTTTTAAAAAAAGGGATTATTACCCCCAGAAAAACGATCTGCCAATCGACTAACAATCAGGTTCCTACTCACTGTTAGGTAAACAGAAGTGTGTGGAGTAAGGAAACTTGCCCAACATTTCGCCCTGGAATCGAACGCAGGTCCTCCTCCTTGCTTGAGGTGAGTGCTCTAACCACTAAGCTGCAAAATTTCACAAGATCTTCACATCACACATATTTAATGCTAGAAATAGCAAGCTAGGTCTGTCTTTCCGCAAACACCTATGCTTCGCAGGCCCACAGTAGCTTCAATAGGGAGAAGATTGTTTTCAGTCAAAGCCATATAGCAATAATTATTTTTAAATGGATCAAATAACAGAGATACAAGTGTTCATAGGGGATAACCAACATAATTTCCCTCAAATATGGTGTGCACATGATAATGCTAATTATGATTCCCTAAAAGTTGGGAATCAAATGGCCACTCTAACTTAGTACTTGGTTGAAAACCTTATCCCCCATCCCCCCCTACCCTTCACTCCCTCCAAAAACCCTTGATCACCCAGCGCCCAGGACAAGTATAATTTGTTCTTGTTGAAAACATCTAAAATCATTTTGTAACCAATTACAATTAGAAATATTACAATGTAAACAGTTTACAAAATTAGATACATATTACATGAAAATGGTTTAATGAATTGTCAAACGAGCAGCACACTATTCACACCAATCACGTTTAGAAAAGTCAGTGCATGCCAAATATATGAAGGCGGTCGATTGTGCTTACTTGGAAAAAAAAACATGAAATTGCTCTTTGTGTAAATCTGAAGACAATCTAAACATACTCCATTTAGTATTTTCTGGTGCAGGTATTGTCAATATCACCAACCGGTCAGGCGTTTGTAAGAGATTAACAGCTGACAGTGCATTGTCAAAAACACAAATGCATCACTGTTTTACAGAACAGCCAACGAGGGTCAAGTATGGGAATAATCACTTCATACAAAATATCTTTTAAGTTCTAGCTGTATTGAAGCTGGTGAAACAAAGGGCTCTCGAACTTTAAAACTGATACAAAGTTTGGACATTAAGAGCCATTGACAACAGGATCTTCCTCCATTTCCTCCTCTTCAACCTCATCTGAAGGACCTGCAAATTCACAAAGGAAAAGATTATTTTCCCAAATCATTTCATAGCTACATTTTTCCAGCGAGTCCAACAAATCAAGTTTCAAACAAACATTTTTCCTTGATTGTAAAAACTACTTGGCTTGAAAATTTATACAAGTAGATTCATTGACGTTACAGCATGGGAGCAGAGTCATTGAAACAAGTCAGATATTCTAGAATTGTTCAGTAACTCAACTGGGGTCTTTATGATTAACAGCTAGTAATGGAATTTTTGCAAGACATCCATTCATTTGACCATTTGCATTCCGCTGAACTCAGTTCTTTCACAAACCTAGGCCACTTACCAGCTTTCTTTTCCCTGCCTGGGATCTGTCCAGCTTGCAGCATGCCCTTTAATCTTTCCACCTCAGCCAGGGTTGAAGCATTAGCAATAGCAGTCTGTAATTTAAAAATATTACATTTACATTATCAAAAATACTTGCATTCATTGCGTCGCCCACTGCACTATTCAACAGTCTCCAGCAACCATTTGACTCCTCTTCCAATCTCCCATCTTGATCTCCACATCAAGGTCAAACAGCAAACCATTATTAATAGTATAGTTTCCTGCCATTACTTCCGATCTGAAAGTGCGCCAATACCCCATGGACCAACAGTTCTCTCCCCCCCAAGGTTGAGAAACAAAGCCATTCTGGAAGACCAAATGAACCAAACACTTTTCTCAAATTCATTCTCTCTCCTCCCTTATCCAACCTCCGTCCACTATGAGAAATTAAGCTTATTATTTTAGGAACTATATTCAGCAGTTATTCCTCTTACCTTAATTGCTTCCACTTCTGCTGGGGAAGGACCCGTTTTCTTTTTATCGCCGGGTAATCCTGCACCTGGAGTGAAACTTGAAACAAAAAGCAAAGAATGACTGATTCAACTTCCATACAAGCAGCTTACTCCGAACCTTTAAAGCCAGTTTAAAATCAGTGCAGTATCTGATCTTTTCATAAACTGATACATTTTACAGTACTCCCATAAGAATGGAGCAACACTTGAAATAGCTTCCCTCAGAAACACTATTAAGTGGAACCACAGCACTCAATAGTCTGTGATAAATTCAATTTGAAGTACTGACCTTTCCCAAAAGTCATATTTCTTCTCTGTTGTACTAATTAAATCTCACCTCCTTACAAGAGCCCCAATTTCAGTGTTTCTGAGGTAAAATGCCAAGCCAAGTTTAGTATCTGTATCTTACGTCTTTGTTTTCTTGGTAATATCCTTTGCAAGCTGAGCACCTCTTTTGCCTTTGAACATTCGCTCCGCTTCCTGACGTTCCTGTGGCAATACATCATATCCAGTTACAGTTAAATTGATCATTTTCCCACCAGCAAAGCAATATGCTCCCTAATCCTGCAGTAACTATAAACTTGTAACTTACTGACTAATATATTACCTATCTTTAAGAAAGGCAGCTAGAAAGACTAATCCAAGGCTTCCTGAAGCAGTTTACTAGCTGCAATAGTTGTGCTTATATCGGTTACTAAGTGTCAGGTGAAGCAACAACTGATATTTCATCCCCAATGCGACATAATGGTTGTTCATAAAGTGACACTAGTTGCAGGCAGTTCACTGCACAAAGAACAAGAAAATAACTACAAATCATTAAAAATGATTACAAATATCAGGTTTAATTCAAAAAGTATCTCTGGAATCCTTAATATATTGTAGGCCTAGCCAATACATAATTAACATGCGTATGTACATCAGGTGTTATCTTATGTAACTTAAGTTACTTTAACATTAACTTCTCATTAAAAAAACTGTCAGGAATTTACCCAAAAATAATAAAGGCTTCTCAATAATTAGATGTGAAATGTACATGTAGGCTCTTATTTTCAGCAAAACCTCTTTTCTACTCTAGCTAGTTCTTTGATTATAAAAAAAAGTTATGCTTAGAATTTGAAACCTTCATCATTAATATTTTGAGGCCTTCAATAGAAATCCTGCACACTTTTCTAAAATAAGTTTCTTTATTCCTAAAACTACAAATTAATGTTGGGCTTGTATATTCTATATTTGTAGTACTCATTTGGAGGTTTCCATAAAATCTATTTGAAAGTTTGTAAGTTACAGCAAATGAGAATACTGCCTAGTTTGAAAGGTGAAACTTTTTCAGTGCTCAAGTAACTAAACTAAAGCCCTAGCATCATATTAAATGAAATTGTAAGAATCAATCAACTGAGTATAATTCTCATTTAAATAACTGGAAACAAAGTTGGAAAATACTGAAAATTTCTGAACAATGCCACAATGAGTCCCACTCCATTCACCCGAACGGGCACATCTGAGCAGGAAGGCATTGGAGAGGAAGCCTTAGGCTCAGCTATCAAAAAGGTGGAGAAGTAAAAGTAGGGGAAAGCCAGACTCTTTGACACCTGCCAGCTATGAGGGTTCTGGTGGTGCGAGAATAGAGTGAAGGAACCACCTTCTCAACTGCAGATGATTAGTCAGAAAGCCCAACTACACAGGACAAAAATACAAAAAAAACACTTACCGAAAAACCATAGTCAACACTGAAATCTCAATCAATCCCAGCTTCATAAAGTAAAATGTGATTGTAACTTTCATCAAGAAATGGGATTATAATATTTTAAACATTGTATAACAGATTTTTTCTTCTGGTTTTCTACTAAATGTAACAATGCCAGGTACACAAAGAGGAACAGCAGATTGTGCAGAACTTCATTCAATTACCATTAAGGTCGGAGCAGAAATTTCACTCTTTTCTTGTAAATAAGTATGAGAATGGTACAAAGTGAGCATGATCAACGTGAAAGAGATTGGGCTGAACAGTTTGTTATTAGCAAACATATAGAAAACATGGACAAGTTGCTGTGGAATTTATGTACAATTGGCCATATGTGCAGGAATTATAAAAGCACTTGAATCAAAAATAATTTGTTCCACAATATTATCAAATTAATAACAATCAATCAAAAACAGCTCTATGAATCATCTTGATCCCAATAAATGTACATAATGTCTTGATGTGGTTAAAATATTATGCAATGACCCCATTTTCACATGAACCTTAAAATTTACAAGTTGCATATTACAAAATTCATGAGGAAATCTTGCCCAAAACAATAAAACTTACTGTATCATCTGAAACTAATTTTTAAAATTAGTTATTAAAACAGAACCAATTATTAATGTGATGTAACAGGTTTAGCTGTGTATCTTCAGCACTGCAAAACCATATTTAGAAGAAAAGCAATGCACACATTTTCTACAAGAAGTAGGTTAGATTGTGAATATAGGAACAAACCTTTTGAAATATTGAATTGCCTTAAATAGAACAAATGTAGAGGAACTGTAAAATACAGTGCAATCATTCCTAGAAGACATACCTTTAGTTTCACCTTTTGGAAGTCTAGGACTCGGATATGTGGAGCTTTCTGTATGACATATAACCTGTAATGTTTCTTGCTTGTAACAGGATTTCTAAGGAGACTAAAAATAAAATATACACTAATTTAATGTACTATTCCCAGGCTCATATAAAACACAAGATTACTGTAGTTCTGAAGAATTAAAGACAATCTATTGTAATTGCCTAACTCCTTTTATGTTCACAATGAAGTTTTCCAATAGAGTAAGAAACTGACCAGATAAATGACAAAAGTATTCAATGAAAGATTGGTCCAAGGAATGTGGAGCTATAACAGCTTGACCCACTTTAGCAACATTTTCTGCTGTTCAAAACAGTTTTAGTGATTTGGTAATTGGAAAACTGACAAAGTAAAACATTAAAATGAAATTTGCACCAAGTGATCAGAAAGCAAGTACAAATGAAGCAGACACTCAGCATATACAGTCTAATAACCAATGATGTACAGCCCACAAATATACAGTCTATTCCGTGAAGCGCTTTGAGACATTTAGAAGACATGAAAAGTGCAAGGATGATTATTATTATTATAGTAATTGCCAACTAGCTGCTTCCAGCAGCTGAAAGGGGTATTAGGTGCTCACATCATGCATTAGAACATAATTAGCAACTGAACAAATCCCTCCAGGTTGACAAGTTTAATCAAAGCTCTCTGCCCAAGTTAATTTTACATTATTCTTTCCGTCCAACAAAGTCTACACTCAAACATTCCGCATTAGTAATGTACAGAAACTCCTAGCAGTGACTTTCTAAAAATATTGCTACATTCATCATAATCAAATTTAAGCACCGGCCACAGTCAAAAACGATTATGGCTGAAATGCAACATTGCTACTGAAAACTGATCAATGGGAACTTCTATCCAACTCGTTCACAGCAGTTTTCAAACATTGCCCCAAACTTTGATCTTACGATAATAGGATTTGATACAGCATCTTACAACATTATCAAAACTTCTCAAAGCACTTCACAGAATTTCCTGTAAATTGCAGTGACCATGTATTTTGCAGACGAATGTGGCAGCTCATAAAGAAGTGAATGATCAATTTATCTAGAAGACGATCTTTTCAAATAGTGACATGCGATCTTTAATGTCCAACCTGAACAGGCAGATGGGACCTCGGTTTAACGTCTCATCCAAAGGAAGGTGCCTCCGACAAAGCACAGTGCCCTATTGATGTACTGTATTATATTCTTTCATTTGTATATCTTTACAGGTAAAACAAAGGGTGCACAACAAGCAAACACTACCAAACTAAAATACACCAAACTAAAATACAAACTAAAATGTGGTACACATTATCCATCAGCAACCACGTAAAAGCCAGATAGACCTAGGAAAGTGTTACCTCACGAAAGTCAAAGACTTGATTGTTCCAAGTGGGTCCAGATCACCCTGCACAGAAAAGATAAGATTTTAGAAATTCTGCTTAAAAACATCTAAATTGTTTTTTCTTCTGCTGATAATACCTCATTTATATCCGCTTATTACAGACCTGTCGATCAGCAACACTCTTTTTGCTTTATCAAAACTATTTATAAATTTTATACAAACCTGTATTAGATTTCCCTTTGACCATGTTTATTCCAGCAAAAAAGGGCAAAGATGTACATTAGGATAACCTGACCATGATCAAGATCGTAGCTTAAATAAATAACACCCTTGAGGGTTGCTTCTTTGAGATCTAGAGTGCAATGTTACATTAACAGTTGACTATTAAAAATGCTACTTTTTTAGAACACATTTTGAAAACACACAGATGAACAAGTCTCCAGTACAATACAGAATGGACAGAGGGACCATGAAAAAGGAATTATATATTTTTTTGCTTCTGGAAATGATTATTTCCTAAAGTACTGTTTTTTCTGCCTAGACACAACTTACCAGTTCTTGAAGGTTGTTGTTTGTCAATATTAACTCTTGTAGGCTTGGTAAAGATTGTTCAAGGCCTTCACCTATCCGACTGAAACAATAAAGGTTCAATTTATAAAATGAATCAAGTTACCATAATATTTACTTGTGCCCAACCCCATGTGCTTGCACCTTTGTAACCTTGTACAGAATCTTACTGCCCTCTTTGTAGAATTGATTAAAATCATTTTTAATGATACAATTAACATATCAGATGTGTATGAATCATAATTGTGTTATGGATCAAAAAATAGACCCCAAGTTACAACAGCTCTGTAACAAAAAGGTTACTGGCATCTCTTCCAGGTAATAAGGTCATTGTTGATGGCACTTCCAGCTTCCCGAGCTGACATCAAATGCCAGAAGCATACATTCAGATCCACGGGAGACATGAGCTTCTAGGAAACTTATAAATAACAACAATAATCCTTGCATTTGATATAGCGCTTTTCCAAGACTTCTAGACAACTCAAAGCGCTTCACAAAACAAGACTGTATATTTGTGGGCGAAAAGCGGCAGCCAATTGCGCACAGCAGTATTCCACAAATAGTCATGGATTGAAATGACCTATTTATTATTTTTTTTCTGGAGGGATTATTATCAAACGTGTGGAGTAAGGAAACTTGTCCATGGTTTCACTCTGCTGGGAATCGAACCCAGGTCTCTCACTTGCGAGGTGAGTGCTCTAACCACTGAGCTACAGGATTCCACTTGAGCACTTCATAATACACTACACGCATTATGTTTTTAAGACTTTCTCGCCGAACTTGTAGAATTCATCCGAATTAAAGAACTGGCTTTTGATATCAGCAAAGGTACCAAATAAAATCAGTGTCCCAGTGTGCACATCAGTCCTTGCAATTGGTACAGCACCTATAACATCAAAACATCTCAAAGTTTATCATATGTAATTGCTGTCAAGTGTAGGGGTTGTGTATTAATTAAGGAAAGATATTAATTACAAATATGTTAAAAACAAGCGCACAAATGAACTTACCATAATCGATTATTATTCACCAACAGTGTTTTAAGCCTTTTCAGTAAAGGAAAACCGTCTAACTTCCGAATTTCATTGTCCGAGAAATCAATTGTATCAAATTGGTCCAAGGTTGCTCCCAAGTTTTCAATAACAGGTATTTTGTATCCTAAAAAAGAGATTATATACATATATACATATACACACACACATACACGTATATAATATATATAAAAATTATCTTCAGGAAAAAAAATACTATGCACAACAAAGTTAAAAGACCACAGTCTGCAAAACACAGGGCTTCTGAAAATCACTTTGACTGCAGCTGAGTGTGTGAGATGGTTTGGAAGCAGATCAGGTTTGCACAAACCAATGACTTTTGGTCGTTGATGTGCTGAGCGGCATTAAAACATTCGGGTAACACAGAACAGTGCAACCGATGCGCATTCACTCTTCCTCGTAAAATGGCACCTCGGAGGAGCCCCGCGGGTTTAGTTATTAGACCGAAACTATTCTGCCTTTTCTGTTTTCCCCCCATCAACAGCCATCGCAGAGCTCATGGTGGCAAAGCAATTGCTTTGAGGTTTAATTTCTTCTGCTGCCGAAGGTGGTGGTGGTGGTGGTGAGGGGGGAGAGAGAGAGAGAGAGACTGGACTCGTGGCTATGGCTTGTGCAGTGACCAGCGGTCGGCCAGGCCGAGAGCGGGACGCTCGAGTGTCGGCAGGAACAGGAGGCCGAGGAGGTGGTGAGGGAGGGGAGGAGGGAGGGAGGGAGAAGGGTTGTAGTCGGGGCCCATGCGGCGAGAGGCCCCACTGTCTCAGCGACCGCTTTCTAGGCCAAGGCGGCGGGCGGGAGTTTAACCCAGGCCCAGGGAGGCCTCGCCTCGCCGGGCCTCACCTCTCAGGTCCAGCTCCCGGTCCCGCACGGGGTTCGTGTACTGCGCCACCTGCTCGATCAGCTCGGCCGTGAGCTTCACCATCTTCACCCGCCAGTCACTCCCCCGCCTCGCTCCCAAGACCAGACCAGACCAGAGCAGAGCAGCCCGCGCGCGCGACCCGCCGCCCGCCGTCAACTGCCAATCACCAGCGACCGACCCGGCGCAGCACACACAGTGGCCGCCGGAGCGATTCAACCCTTTTAAACCCAGGCGCGCAGAGTGGCCGCCGGAGCGATTCAACCAGCTCCCTCTTTCAGCCCCTCCCACTTTCAGCCCCGCCCCCCCCCTACACGCCCTCCCACCCCATGTTTGTATTTGTTTTCTGTTTTAGAAATTGGTAACAACAACAACAACAAGATTACGTTTGCATAGCGCCTTTCACGTCGGGAGGACGTCCCAAGGCGCTGGACAGTGCACAGCATTTCAGACCCGAGCTGGGGTTGGGGGGGTAAAGGGAGGGGAGGGGAAGGGGGTGGCCGATGGCATGGTCGAAGAGGAGGGTCTTGAGGCGGGATTTGAAGGAGGCTAAGGAGGGGGCGAGGCGGAGAGAATTCCAGAGGTTGGGGGCAGAGTGGCTGAAGGCTCTCCCGCCAATGGTAGGGCGGGTGGGTCGGGGGACGTGGAGCAGGTCAGAGCCGGCTGAGCAGAGGGAACGGGCGGGTTGGTAGGGGGTTAGGAGGTCGCAGAGGTAGGGTGGGGCGAGGCCATGGAGGGCTTTGTAAGTGAGAACCGGGATCTTGAATTAGATCCTTATGAAGGATAGGGAGCCAGTGGAGTCGGGCGAGACTGGGGGAGATGGGGTCATGGAGTTTGGTGCGGGAGAGGACGCGGGCTGCAGAGATCTGGATTATCTGCAGTTTGTGGAGGGAGGAATTAGGAAGGTACAAACAGGGCGTTTGCATAGTCGGGCCTGGAGGTGATGAAGGCATGAACAAGAGTTTCAGCGGCCTGAGGGGTGAGGTAGTGGCGGAGTTGGGTGATGTTACGGAGGTGAGGGAAGGCAGAGCGGGTCATGGCTTGAATGTGGGGGAGAAAAGACAGTTGAGGGTCGAACAAGACACCGAGGTTCCTGACTGGTTTGGTGAGTTGAAGTGTGCAACCATGGAGGTTGATGCTGCCAGAGCCTGAAGTGCTGAAGCACTGGCGCGAGCCAATCAGGAGGGCCTCAGTCTTGTTCACTTTCAACTAGGAAATTTACCCTCATTCAGGACTTGATGTCCGATAGGCAGTCTGTCAAGACAGCAGTGGTCCTGGAGTTGAGGGTGGAGGCAGAAAGATAGAGTTGGGTGTCATCCGCATACATATGGAAGTTGACCCCATTTCTGCGGATGATGTCACCAAGGGGAAGCATGTAGATATTAAAGAGGAGAGGGCCAAGGACAGAGCCCTGGGGACACCAGACATGACAGTGCGGGGGCTGGAGGAGAAACCGTGGAGACATTGAGAGAGATAGGAATCGAACCAGGCAAGGGCAGATCCGTGCAGATTGCGTAAAGCAGAGAGGTGGTGTATGAGGATGGAGTGGTCGACAGTGTCGAAGGCAGCAGAGAGGTCGAGGAGGACAAGGAGGCAGAGGGAGCCCTCATCACAGATGTTCAAAATGTCATTAGTGACTTTGACCAGGACTTGATAACTCAGGATATTAAGTAGCAATTCTTAATATAGTCAACTGCTAGTGTAACATGATACTCTAGGACTTGTAGGTGTAACGTAACTCTCCTGGGTGTTATTTATTTAAGCTGGGATCACCCTTTTTCGTCTTGATCCTGATCCAGGACATTTCTAACCCACATTGTGTGTTTTTTTTTGCTGGAATATAGGTGGTCAAAGTTATTAGATTCCCCCACCCCCATCAATATGCCGCTGCCACAGACTCAGTGCCACATGTGCGCAGATATTACAAAGATTTACAAAGAACGTACAGCACCGAAACAGGTCACTCAACCCAACCAGTTTGTGCCAGTGTTTATACTCCATCCGAGTCTTCACCTGCTCTTTACTCCCTCCCGCACCCTTCTATTCCCCTCTCCCTCATGTGAAGGTCTAGCTTCCTCTTGAATGCATTTACACTGTCCGATTCAACCACCGTGTTCCATAATCTCACTACTCTCTAATGGGAAGTGCTTCCTCCTAAATTCTCTTTTAGATTCCCTTTGTCACCATCTTATACAGTATTTGTGGTTGTGATTCCCTAAGCAGTTGACATATTACTGTTTTCCAAAAGCAGGAGGCACCCATTATTATTATTATTAAGGAATATTATTGTTTCACCGAATGGGTTGACTTCAAGATCCTCACTCGTGTTCAAATCTCTTCACTCTCTGGCACCTCCCTACCTCTCCGAACTACTCACTCCCCAATCCATCACCTGGCACCTTTGCTCGACTGGCACCGGCCTCCTGTTTGTACCTGTCACCCTCCGGCCACCACTGGAGGATGGCTTTCAGCCACTATGCCCCAAAACTCTGGAACACTCCCTCAATCCCTCCACCTTGCCCCTGCTCTCCCCGTTTTAAAGACCCGTCTGAAAATCTTCCTCTTTGACCTTGCTTGCGGCCACCTCCCCCCATCCACCCAGCTCGGAGTCAGGCTCCACGACTGTTAAGCGCTCTGAGACACTGCCCTGCGTGGTGGGCGCTGTATAAGTGCAAGTTGTTGTTTCTTCCTGAAAATACAGGTTTTACTCGCCATTGTCAAACTTTAAAGCTTTTTGCTCAATGTTGTGTAAATAACTTTTTTTGTTGCAAAACACTAGGATTGTAATAAACAGGATCCAAACATGTAACAATGACAGCACAGAGGTGATGTTCTTCCAGTGCAATTGCTTATAATTAACAAATTCCAACAAACGTTAACAATATTTAATGGTTGTGCAGGACAAGTTTAGGGAAAACACCACTGATGGTCATCAGCAGCTGGAATAGGTGGCCAGGATGCGCCAGAACCCTGGGCTTATTGAAGAAAACATTTGATGCTGTAATGGGAAGATAATAGTGTGAACATTGCGGACAAGAACAAATGGGTCAAGTGCCTTTCTCCATCCAAAGCTCTTGTTATCTTACAGGCATTTGTCTGCAAAACACAATGTCACTAGAGTTCACAGTAAAATACCATAAAATGCAATTTACATTTATACAGAGTCCTTTATGTCAGGAGGACGTTCCAAAGCACATTCACAGTGTTGAATTTTGTAAAGCACTCTGAGAACATTCTGACAATGCAATAAGACACAATAGCAAAATGCAAGCATTATTACTATTTTTATTTTTTATGATGTGTGACAGTTCTTTGTTTATCTTAAGGACAGAACAGCTATGTTTAGTAGAGTTTGTTTCACACACCGGATTTTCACCTCAAACCTACACGTGGTTTAAAATATGGTAAAATGAAAAGAGCTAAATTATATTTGAACCAAAATTAAAATTCTTAAGACAGAGCTAAACTGGAATCCAGTAAAAATATCATGCTACAAAAGATTGTGACAATAGCCTGGCCCAGAAGGCATAGATCCAGAATCAAAATGGATTTAAAAAGCGGGATTAAAAAGAGAACAAGTTGCTTTTGTGATGAAGCCTTCATACACCATGCTTAATTTATGTGGAGGATAGTTGGACTAGGAATAAAAACTTTCTCTTTTCAAATCTTTTTAACATCTACCTAAACAGTCAATAAACAATAAAACACAGCAATGGTAATCTACTATCATTTTTATTAAACAAAAATGAAAATAAAACACACACAGAAAGACTACAGAATTCTTGAGTATTTTAAAAGTGTCATCTCCCAAATTTGAAACAATACAATTTTAAATCAAAACATTGGAGGTGGTATAAGTAAGAGGATAAACACAAAATGAGCAACATGTCACCATTGGGTCCTGTTGTAATAATAATTATAATAATGATCCTTGCATTTGATACAGTGCCTTATCACGTCTTCACGACGTCTCAAAGTGCTTCACAGAATATACTGTAAAGTGAATTGACTGTATCTTTTGTGGGCAAAACACGGCAGCCAATTGCGCATACAGTATCCCACAAACAGCTGTGCATTGAGTGACCGCATTTTTTTTTCATGATCACAAAGGTGATTTAAACACCGGAACGTCAGCCTGAAACAGAGAGCTAGGATCAGAGAGCCAAATGAGACCAGGCTCTCTTCGCTTATCTTTCAACTAAAGCCAGTACAGATGTATCTTTTTTTCTATTAACTCTGGGTTTGTGTGTGTGAGTTCTCTATATGTGTGAGTTTATTACTTCTGGGCTTGTGTGTGTGTTCTGTATATGTGTGAGTGACTATCAACTCTGGGCTGTAATACTGTTTCCGTATGGTTTGAAGAAGGTTTAAGTCCATGATAGTGGTTTGAGTCCATGATAGAAAATATACAGTGGCAAATAATGATCATATTTTCCAGATGTTGTTGATTTTCTTCATTCATTCAAGAGACAAGTCCGACAACACAAATCTTTCAGCAGCTTCTTTTCACAAAGCTTGTTTAATTTTATCATCTTACAGAAGACAAGATCAGCTGGAAATTGAAGTTAAAAAAAGTTAGTTACAGTCTTAAATACTAGAATAGTAGAACTTTCAAAGGAAACCGTCTTGGCTCATCACCTCTGTGCTATGCTTGCTCCCAATTACAGCAATTTATTCTCTATTATTCAACCTCTTCTTTCCCCACTTCCTTTCAAACCTTTATTCTTCAAATGTATATAATTTCTTCATCGTTCTCTATGATGTCTTTTGGTCAAGGACTAAAATATACAGTTTTGTCCACAAAACACACAGTCAATCCACTTTACAGTATATCCTTTGAAACACTTTCAGATGTCGCAATGACGCCATTTCAAATGCAAAGATTATTTATTATTATTTAGTATTATATGAAATGCACGTGTCACAGGGAGAAGATAGAAGGGGGAAAGCAAATAAGGGAAATGTTGAGTGGTGATTATGTATCTTTACTTACCATTGAAACATGTGCTGTTTGAAAAACATATGCCATTTATCACAACGTGACCTTCTCTGCATGTTATACAAGTTTTTCCAGGACCTCCACACCTAAGGCAAAACTCTGCACATCTGTTCAGAAAAAAAGGTAAAAAATCAATTAAAACCAGACAAGTACTTTTATTCCATTACAAACACAACTTCTTTTGGTGTGAAAACTAAATATCAATACTGTTAAAAACAAAACCTGCAACAGTCATCGATAATAACCAGCAGGCAAGAGTCACTCTTACAGCTTCTCACAGTTCAGTTTGAAGGAATTAAAGAGGGGTTCTGACAGGTTAGAAAGAATTACATGTGATGTGCTGTTATTCAACAAACGCGACAGAGCCAACCTGCAAACTGCAGATTTTCACAAGTTCATAAGAGAGGATCAGAAAAACATGGTCCTTCAGTCCCTTGGATCTCAGAATCTTCACGCTACCTCACTCCTGTGACATAGAGTCGGCCTCACCCTTCTGCCCTGGTTGTTAATTACCCTTTGGGTGAAGAAATATTTCCTTGTGTCCTTTCTTGCCCTTTGCAAGTCTAAAATTGTGCCCTCTTGTTTCTGTGATCTCATTGCACCTGACATAAATGGAAAAACAATGGAATTAACCATTACCTGTTTGAAAATAACCTAATGAGTGTCAGCAAGCTATTTGACTTTGGAGATAACACAGACAGTGCCTGATCCCATTTTCACTTGTCATTTGTAGAGATGCAGGATCCAAGGTGGGGGAAGGAAATAGACACCGATCACAAGTGAGAACTTTGGCTGATTTAACCCTTTTCTAGTTCAGGGGTGCTGTGTTCAATTACAGTGCCCACAACATTGTTCCATCTGAGATCAATTGACTAAGCAAAGACCGGGGATTGAACCTGCGATCTTCATGATTCATATGGCTCAGTTCCACTCTTTGCAATGGCTTTGCAACCTGAGCAAACATAAATCCAACCAGTCAGACAAACGTAGACGTGAAGAATGTTCTTATCCGTAGAATAATTACACAGTGAATATACAGTGTCGGAATAGAAAATTATATAGGAAAAAAACACATACTGCACCTTTTGCAAACTCTGAAATGCAACCCATGCACATTTTGGGGATAAAAGCCTTCATTGCAAGTTGAAACACATTCTTGATCTTGCAGAACAGAATCGCTCTGACAATTGATACATCCGAGAGGTCCAGGTCCTGAGAATTTAAGTGAGAGTAACACAAATTTCTCCTGATATTTGTGGATATAAAACTAGCAAATGTTTGTCCTAAGATGATTTGAAGGCAGAATAATGTGATACCACACACATGAAGCCAACAGGTCTCCCATAATGAATGCTATGTTGTATCTCTTTCACTGTTGCACAAAGGTTCATTAGTGCAATATTCTCCATTTATATTTTATACAGTAAGTTGTTACTGTTCCAACACATCCACAAAGTCAAAGTTGTCATTGCAGAAGTGTGCATTAGACAATACAAATATGTGCTTAGCAAGTGCAGGGATTAATTTCGAAACGGGATTCGAATGATGTAACATTAAAAAAATCACAATAACTCACCCAAGCAAAAGAGACAGTCAGCGCAAGAGTCACATTGCATTTCTTCCATGTTTAAGTAAGTCCCAATGTCACATTCTGGTGCACAGAGACTTCCCAGTAAACTGAAAGGACATCCAGCTTTTTAACCAGCATTTTAACCATTTCATTTTAATATATCCACATACTGTATTTGAATGGATTTCTTACCCTACACCTTTTATGTTGACATAGATTAGTGGATGCAGCCTTAATCAATGTGTCAAACAACTATGCCATCAAGAGATGATAACGCCTTAATTTGTTTTTGAAAATAAACGCTCAATTCTAAAAATTAGAATATTAAAAAAAATCTTAAAATCTATTGAACTGATACTCAACCCTCCCATGAACACTGAAGAAAATAAAGACTATTCACAAGTGTACAAATTAGCCCAAAACTATGAAGCCGTTTCATAATTTTTTAAGCCATTTTGAATCCAAATTCTCTGAAATTATCTTTTACAAAGATGCTCGCACACCTTTTTTTCAATAAACTTAATTTTGAATGACCTTCCAACAGTTGCATCTGTTTTTATATTTAAAAAAATCATTTTATGACTTTGCCGTACCTGAACCCTTCTCTGCAGACTGTGCAGTTCTCTGCACTTTCAGTACACTCCGCGCAGTTTTCTGGACAATTCTGACACCTTCGTTCAACTTTGAAAGAAGATTTGTCAAGTATTACACGCTGATAGTTTGCACTTGACAAGATTACTTACACTTCATACACTGCCATGTATCTCAAAATGTCTCATACTGCATCACAAATTAATTACTTTGAAATATATTGACTGATGTTCTGTAGGCAAACATGGCAGCATTTAATCTATGCCAATATGCTTTGCAAGTGCATTAGATTGAAAGCATAGAAACAACAGCTTGCATTGGGTACAATTATACCTGGGACTAGATTTACTCTATTGATACAGCATTTCAGAATGTGCAGAATTTAGCAAATTGCTGAATTCAGTTTCAATTTTAATACTGTTTTTCTGTACAGTAGTTCTAAAAGAAATTTACTGAAAACCAACTCAGAATGAAAGACTGTATCTTGTGAACACTCTAAAATGCTGTGTTAATAGAGTAAATCTAGACCCAGGTCGAGTTTCTATCAAATATTGCCTTTCGTGTGGTTAAACATCTCAAAGCCATTTACAGAGATGGTGTACCAAAGTGCCTGAGGAAGATAGAGGTTGTTGCTGGGGGCGGTGGGATGGGAGGTGGTGACTGAAGGCATAGGTAGGATTTCAGAAAGCTTTTGAAAGCAGACAGGGAGGATGCAAAGCAGAAGGATACAAAGAGAGAGTTCTGAAGAAGCAGACAGTTTAGAAACTACTGACGAATAAGAAATGTGAATTCTTTATAGAGTTTATCCTTAAGCTTAAGGAAACATCAATAAACCAAAAGAATGCAGAAAACATACTTTCATCGGTAAAAAAGCCAGACGGACAAGAGAGCTGGCATATGTCCAGTTCCTCGTAATAGAAATATCCCCTTTTACATAAATGGCAATCACTCTGATTCTTGCCAACACATGTTTCACATGTCCTATCACATGAAAGGCATCTTCCTGCTCGACTGTCTGCGTAAAATCCTATTGGGCAGATTTGCACACAATTCCTACACAAAGATGACAGGTGGGAGGAATTACACAATGCTACTCGTTAAAAACAATCAGAACAGACACCAAAGACAAAATATACAGTCAATTCACTTTACAGTATATTCTGTAAAGCGCTTTGAGACGTCTCAACAATGTAATAAGGTACTATTTCAAACGCAAGCATTATTATTATTTCAGTTGGAGCATCCTCTGAATACCGAACAATAGCGCTGAATTTATTTACCTGTTAGATCCTGTAGTCCCCAGGCTTAAATTAACACAATTTAAACAGTTATCTGCCTCAGGGCCATCACATGCCAGTTGATCACATTCTGCATGACAGGGCCCTGAACAAAAATAAAGATAGATAAGGCACTATAGCCAATGCATAATTATGCATTATTATTATTATAGTTTTTTGTGTCTGTATGTGAGGGTGGAAGGAAATCATCTCATTAAATCAAGTGTTTTGCACAGTAAATCAAGCAAAGCAAGCAAGCTTGTGATTTTGTGTTACAGAGTTAAGACATCCTCAAATATCAATAAAAAATAACTGTTGAAGACAAAGCCGGTCTACTTTTCGGAGATTCAGTAATATTCAAATTTTGCATAGATTTGGATTTTGTGGAGCGAAGAGTTATTGAAGAGAAAATTTGTGTTTAGTGCACAATTCAGCTCAGCATCATTCAAGTAAGTCAATATAATTTACACTCATCTGTAGCCAAATCACAAGAGTACAACAGACAACATCAATTGTAGGGAAAACTGAAATTTAATTTCAAACTATTTATGTCAAGTACCAGTTTAAATAAATATTTGTTGTGGTCAGCCTGATGTCTGGCACATACAGAAACAAATCTCCAAAGCTTCAGAGTATCCAAACCAAGCTACAGTAAACCTCACATAAATTGTATCAGTTGGGACCATACATTTAATCTGATTTAGGCAAAGTATGAGTTATGTGAAACTTTTGTACATTATAAGAAATTGGACGGGACTTGGGCAGATGTATGACTTAGGCGATTATACGATTTACTGTCCTGGGAGTTCCGCATATTCATGGTTTACATTTGTCTGGAGTGGAGTGTGAACTCTCACTTAATCTCAGAAAGTATTACAGTAAAATTCGCAAAAGTATGATTTGTATTAATCATATAATCGCTTTAGTCATTCATCTGACTAAGTTCCAATCAATTTCCAAGTTGTCAAGAGCCAAGGCTTGGGGACCCCAGAGTGTGCATTAAAGTACCGCTGGAGCTTAACCAGCTAAAACCGTGCAGCCTGCCATTTAGGGCTTTAACTTGTTGTGTTACCACCAACAACAACAACAACTTGCGCGTATATAACGCCCTCCACGCAGGGCAGCGTCTCAGAGTGCTTAACAGTGGTGGGAGCCAAGGGAAAAGATTCCCTAAATTCACTTGCCGAAACATTAGACAGATAGCCTACCGGCGTAACCCCTTTCCTCTTCTCCCACCTGGGGAACATTCTGATGTTCATTTTCTGCATTTGGATAGTAAGGATGCTCTGCTGTCCCATGGAATAATAACTTGAATTTTTTTAGTTTTCCTGAAAGTGCAAAATTTCAGTCTGAAAAATAGTTATTGTGATATGAGATTACAAACTGCAAAACAATCAACGGACATGCCTGGCAATCTTCTATAGAAAAACATTAGTCTACATTTCTCTTGTGTATAGAAGCTATTCATATTTATATGAAAGTGACAATTTTTACCTATTGATTCTGAAGGGCGCAGATGGATCGCTGTATCATAAATTTCCAAAGTCCATTCACCTTCAACTCTCTCTCCCCAACAATGGACGGTCATAAACTCCCAGTTTAAGAAACCGTCCATTGAATTGTCAAAATATCTGGAAAAGAAGTGTAGTCAAACTGAGGCCACAGATATAGCATTTAAGCATATTTGTTTCTTGGCAACAGAATGTAAGGCGATGCCTCAAGTTAATTAGGCGGGCAGAGTCAGGGACGTCTGAGATTAATCTCCAGAAAAAAAGGGAAATAAATTGGGCATTTCCTTCCTGACAGCTGACACACCATCTACAACAAAATGAAGTTTCTAAAAAAAAGTCAATTCTTTTTAGAAAGTGATTATTGTTAGCAATGTTGCCAACCTAAACTAAAGCATTAAAACGTCATTTTATCCATTTAGTATTCAGCAAAGCATGACATCAATATTTTCTTTGGGCTTTGTGTGAAAAACTGGATACTTTATATAAACAGACCCATTATTATTTAAATGAAAAAGTGCTACAAAAGATGAATGTAATATACTAGTTACAAACACTAACAGAAACTTCAAACGCTGCTTGTCCAGGTTTAAATAAAGCAAAACAAATGCAAGTTGCTTAGCATTAAACTGCAATTCTAAATATTTCCTGATAACAGCAATATTCTTCCATTCCACATGTACTTTGCCAATCCTAAAATAACATCTCCAAAGCTCTAAACAATACCAAAAAAAAGGGTTACAAGAAGAAACTCCAGCACTGAATCTCGATAATTGTTGTAATATAATTTTAAAAAAACATTTAACTAGTTCCACTATGTCTTACCTGCTAGAAAGGAGCTGTGACTTTGTTCCAGAGGGCGAAATCAAACTTATTTGCAGATTGCCACGCTTCGGATGAGAAAGTGTGATTTGAACGACGACATGCTCCAAATGTTTCACCCACTGATCAGAGTGATTTGAACATCCATCCGTGCTAATTACAACCCGAAGGAGCTGATTAGGTCGGATAAACCTGTGTAAAGAGAGTTTGGGAAAATGTATTTATTACTAGGATGAGGTACCTGGATTAGAAGGAGGGGCTACAGAGGCTGGGAATGCTCAGAATAGGGAAGAGAAGATGGCACTATCTAAAATGCTATCAATATAAGTTACGGAGTTTACCTTTTTTTAAAGGAACTAATAATACTATAAGAATACTTGCATTTGATATAGCACTTTTTACATTGGGAGGGCATCTCAATGCGCTTCACAGGGTTTCACTGCATTTTGTAGGCGATTGTGGCAGCCAATTTGCCCACAGGAATCACCCACAAAAAATGAGAGCAGAATGGAAAGAAAACAATGAAAAGTGGGGTTAAAATCTCCTTTCTCCTCATCCATAACAGGCTTGCTTCATTGCCACTTGTTTCTTGATGTTAGAAGAGTGTGTTGAGGTTGCTGAGATTGGAATAATCTTTACCTAACTTGACGATTAGATGTCTTTCGGCAGACATGGTGTGTGGGCACTGTTCTCCAGTTCTCTGCTTCTATTACCATAGCTTCAGCATCCACCAAACCAAAGCCATACAAATGGCTCACTGAGGAGCAAAATATACTTTTAGCTGTAAAACTCAAATTCACTTGCAAACATAAATGCTGCATTTTCTTTTAAACTTGCAAAAAAATCATACATAGCTCAATCAGGTAGGCAGGTTTGATTGCCTAGGTGTTATGGCAGAATAGCAGGAAGTAACAGGCAACAACATTAAAACATTAATCAATTTATTTTTTTCAAAACTTAAAACCAATATTTAAAGTCTAATGTGGCTAGTAAAGGTGTGGAGTGTAGATTTGCTGGAACCAGTAGTGCATTCGAATAAAGGAAGACAAGAATCTTATGACAAAAAGAAAAGAGACAAGATAAATTTTTCCTTGTATATCTGGTCCATCTTTCATATAAAGCTAAGGTTTCCAAGTTATCTTAAAAAAAAGCTTTGCCACTAAATTGTCACAAATAATTCTTTGTCTGATTGCTTTATATCACATATATATGCGTCAGAATATTTTTGCCTACATTTGACTATAACCCATCGCCAACACTGTCCAGCCCTGACTGTGTTGCTGTGTTGATAGTACATGATAGATGGCCATCAGCAGCGAAATCCCACCCCCCTCCACCCCTACTGTTACTGATCTAATTTCACTGAAAGTACAATTACACACCTGATCTCAACACGTTTTTCAACTGTTAAGTGTTGTTAACAAATTCATATAAAAAAATTAAAAAGCCAATGNAAAAAAATCAGCATTTTTAAAAGTGCTACAATGTTGAATTCTGCTGATTTGTCAGACTTACCTTTGTGCCCAGCAGCATTCACCTTCCAGTCTGGAGCTTTCAAATGTACAGGACGAGCAGTCTTTACTAAAATATGCTGGACGTCTCTCCATGTAAGCAGTGGGCTGAAAATATTAGAATACACCTTTAGTGAATTCAAAATCCAATCAGAAAACATTAGTCAGTCTAAATATATCTGTCCTCTACTGCAGATCTTTACAGCATACATAATAATAATAATCCTTACATTTGGTACATTGTCTTTCACGTTAGGAGGACGTCCCAAAGGGCTTCACAAGATACACTGTAAAGTGGTGTGACTGTGTGTTTTGTGGAGGAACGTGTTTTATAGTTTTGTTCCACTTGCTGATAAAGCATGGAAGCATTGTTTGCATTATCAATAAAATAAACTGGCATAAAGAACATTAGGTTGCATAGGTAGAGCCTTGTGACACCAAGTCACATTAAGTTATAGATACAAAGATGTACAAAGAACTCTTACTTTGCTTCCAAAACCAAAGCAATGCATCCCGCCATCATAGGTGCGGAGACCGAGGTACCTGTGTGACCATCTGTACAGCCCTGCCGCAAGTCTGTTGTGACCTGTTGCAATAAAAAAGATGTTTACAGGCTTGTTTTGTTCATTTTTCATGCCAAAAACTTGCTCCACTTTACTTCCTTAACTGAAAGTTTATTTTCATTACTTGACCCATTGTTTATTTGTGTCATTTGGTTCTTGCCTGAAGATTATGCAAGGCACAAACATTGCATGATAGAATGCTGACTAGAAAGCATTTATAATGTGTAGTCATTCATTATACTTTTGTTCCCATGATTAATTTTATGCAACATAGGGGTATTTTCTGAAATATTGTCTCGCTCATGCACAAGTTCAATCTTAATGACTGATAATGCCATATACTAAGTATAGATTTATAGAGATATTTAAATAAAATCACAGGGCTCTAATAAAATGATTTCCAAATAAAAGGACTAATATTTTCAGTAGGTAAGGTTGAACTTAGCATGGGATACTTTTGCCCATTAGTATTTCCACTGGCAAATATGTATTTGAACTATTATAACAATTCTATAAATTATTCACATCTCTAAAGCTCACATTCTTATCATTGTTAAAAATATATATTTTTTAAAAATCTGATGTCGAATTCTCAAATAATCTCATACAATTTTTCGATCATAATATTCTCCGCTGCTGTAGGTAGTGGCAAGGGTGGATGCACATTCCTCAAGATACCAAGGCTTATTGCCTTTCTCTGTGGCACTGCTGATGGAAATAGTGTAGATGCTGTTGGTGTAACCATCACAAGAACAGTGGTCTCCTCGCCTACCGCCGTTTCCAGAAGCCCAGATAAAAATGGACCCCAATCCATTTCGTCCCTGTTTAAACAAAGACCATCAATTTCACATTAAACCCTGCACTATAAATAGCCAAACACATATTTCTAAAGGGAAAAGGAGAGTATGCTAAGACAATAGTATAAAAATTGATTATTTAGCCTAATGCAACATAAATTGGGAATTCTTTAACAACAACTTACATTTATGTAGTGCCCTTCACATGGGGTAAAGTCTTGGAACACTTTACAGTACTGTAGTTAATAGCAGTAGGATGACAGAATCAGAACAAATGAGTTTAGAACAGAAAACATCAAGTATTCATTTAGACAAGAAAGGGTAGTTGGGGTTATTTTAGAAAGAGCTTGAAGCTGTTATAGGAAGAATGTAGTGGAGTGATTTGATCAAGAAGAATAAAATCAAATGGGTCAAAAGGTTTCTCATCCCAACCTCTCTCGTAAACTATTATTTTGACAGGAGTGTTCACGAATGAAATGTTAGTGATAGTGATAGCCGCAAGCAAGTACAGAGATTGAAAATGCTCTTTTAGTTTACATTCACCTACCGTTCGGATGCCTCGCTCTAAGGCCTGCCTTGTTAACGCTCCTGGACCATCCACTGTTTTACCATCATCATCCGGTCCCCAGCTGGCGCTGTAAATGTCAATGTGATTCGGCCTGATGCTTAAGGACTGTGCTTCTGTAATATCAGTCACATATCCATCCAACATTCGAATGCCTCAAAACAGGAAATAATCATCAACTTATTTGTTTTAAATTAGTAAATAAATAAATTTATCCCCGTGATTGTATTGCCGTGTAATGAAGTTTCCAAGATGCTTTGCTAATATAGATACCAGGCTACACTGCAACAACATGGTGTGATCTAGCTAAGCCTCATCCTTCAGTTTTCTTAAAAAAAAATCTGTTCAAAATCTGGTTTAGCATAACAGGGAATCTCTCCATCAACAGAAAACTGAGATTAACACCAGTCTCTATTTGTCCTGGGATGGAGGCATTGAAGGGGACAAGGCACCAGGCCGCAGCCGAGTGTACACAGTGTACATGGGAAGGTTGCCAGGAGCGGTGGTTAAGGCCAGAACACTGGACTCATTTAAAAAGCAGACTGATTGTGTGATGGGAGGATGGGATGGTGGGTATTCTGAAAAGATGAGATCAGATGGGCTGATGGCCTCTTTATCCAAATCAATCTTGTTATCTTGTTAACACATGACATGACCAATCTATTGGAGGTTTTTGAAATCATCATTGATGCAGAAAGCATTAAGTAACAAATGCAATCAAGAGGATTATTACACTATTAAAACACACTTATCTTACCTCCTATATTTGCATTGTATGCTATACCCACAGCACAATGGGAATTATTAGCAATCGCTGCAACTTCCCCAGCACAGCGCGTTCCGTGTCTGTTTAAAATGCAATTAGTGCCACGGTTAATTTTTGCTTCTGATGTTCAAACAAAAAGAGAAAACCCAAGGAAACTTGGGAAAATCAGCTTTCAAAACAAAACTGAATTTTTGGATGGTTTCCCACAAAACTTGCACAAACTTAAATGTTAAGACAATGAGGAATTTTGCCCACAAAATACACAGTTGTTACATTTTACAGTGTATTCTGTGAAGTGCTTTCAGGTGTCCTCCCTGTACCAAATGTAAGGCTGATTATCATTATTTTTATCACTATCTTTCTGAGTGCATAGGGGGGGAAAAAAAGGTATACATTAAATAATATTATCATCTAATGAAAACTCACTTATTTTCATTGCTGACATCATATCGTGGAGTAGGATCATCGTCATTCCCATTGACATCATAACTTGCAAGAGGATCCTGAAGAGATAATAATCCATTGTTCCTAACTATAAATGATGCAGTTTTGAAGATGGAAAACATGTTTACCATTGGAGCCTGTTATAACATACAGATCCCGCTTTATAATGAGGTGTGCTTTAAAAATGGTCATCGGTCAGGACAGCCCTTCTTGGGCATTGGAGCAGAGATTTGCACCTTCAGATTTACACACAGTGTCCAGATTTGATCCAATGCTTTTGATGGGTTTGAACAATTAATCCCATCAAAAGCATATTGGTAACAATTAACAACAGTAGTCCTGTAGCTCAGTGGTTAGAGCACTCGCTTTGCCAGCGAGAGACCTGAGTTCAATTCCAGGCAGGGCGAACCCTTGGGCAAGTTTCCGTACTCCACGCGCCTAATAATAATCCCTCCAAAAAACCAAAAACAATAATAAATTGGTCATTTTCAATCCACGACTGTTTGTGGGACATTGCTATGCGCAATTGGCTGCCGCCCACAAATATACAGTCAATTCACTTTACAGTGTGTTCTGTGAAGCGCTTTGGGACGTCCTCCCGACGTGAAAAGCGCTACATCAAATGCAAGGATTATTATTATTATTATTATAATATGAGGGAAAATAAAGAATCAAGGGCTAGGAACAGGTTGTTAGTGAACACTGCACAGTAGGAAGATAGGATTGTAAGGCATTTTAGATGGTGAGTTCTGCTTCGATTCTGCACCAATTCTGATACTTTTGAAAACCCAAAATCAATAGGATCCATCTGCAACTACAGACATTGCCCAAGTTCAGAGTTAGCCATTTGTGGGACTTTGCAATGCGAAAAGTGGCTGTTGCATTCACCTACAAAATATTACACAGTCACTGCACTTTACAGTTAAGTGCTTTGAGGCATCCTCCCGACGTGAAATGTGAGAATTAATATCATTATTTTATACTTAATCAATTGTCAACTTTAATACTATTTAATGTCAAAGCAATACATGAGGAATACACACCATTGTTAAATTTACTTACATAATTCTGCATCAGATCTGGATGCATTCTCTCTATCCCGTCATCAAGAATAGTAACAACAACATTTCTCCCAGTATATCCTTTTTGCCATGCACCAAGAACATTCATTTCCGATCTGCATTTGTTTTTCTCTTCACAGTGCTTCAAGAGTATACAAAAAACAGACTGATTTATCCAATTAAACAAATAAAACATTGCAGTAAATTGTGTGCCCAAGTATAACAGGCAAATGCTCAGTAAAACCGATTGATCTTTACCACATGGTAAAATATTGATGTCCATTATATTTAATCATTGGGCTTTTATCATACAGGAATTAAAGTTTGCTTCCTTCTTTTAAAAAAAACCTGCTAGTGTAGTCTGCTGTAATCTGACATGATTTATAAATTTGGTGCTCTTATGGATGAAGTGTTTTTTTCTCTTAGAAACGGCTGATGAGACATGTTCAAGAAAACTTTATAACTGCATTGTGCTTTGCAGGCAACAAGATTGGTTAACCATACCGACTGTGCAATCTTAAACTGATCAACATCCGATCTCTTGTTTCAGATGAAGGAAATGAGGCATGTACAAAACATCCTGTGAACCAATGTACTCACAATATACCACATGCTTGACCATTCTGGATCAGTGAAGTGCAGACTGAAGTTCTTTTTTGCATGTCGTTTAACCCTTCGCTTGATTACTTGCTGTTCAACCCATTCTACCTGCACACATTTCAAACAGAAAGGTAGACAGGCTTCGTGTGGACTGGGATGGAACAGGCTTGATGGTTCAATTGGCAGTTTAAATACTCCAAGATGCTGCCTCGCGTGAAGGGCGCTATATAAATGCAAGTTGTTGTTACTGTTAGCATTCCACATTTTATTTTGTTCTTGTACCACTGTTTGTGGGACACTCACGTGCACAATTGGGCTGCCGAATGTTGCCCACAAATATACAGTCAATTCACTTTACAGTCTAGTCTGTGAAGCGCTTTGAGACGTCTCGAAGACGAGAAAAGTGCTATATCAAATGCAAGGATTATTATTATTATAGATTGGGTGCTTCTCCTAAGCCTACAGTATGCCCTTATTGCAAGGCTGCAATGTGGTCAACAACAATAGCAACAACAACTTGCATTTATATAGTGCCCCTCACGCAAGCGAAAGTCCCAGAGCGCTTAAGAACGGTAGCACATAAGAAATCCAGTGCATTTCCACTATATTACCATACAGCACAATCATCTTAAGCTGACGAGTGTTACCTTTGAATCCAGGTGAATAAAGGCATGTATACCCCTGCTGTAAACAGTGGACCTTTTAAAGGTTTTGCTGTGATGAAAATGGTAATGATCTTTCAAACTTCCGATCTGAAAGAGAGAAAAAAAAAGGTCAGTAACATAATCTCTACCGTCCTGCGATCAACCAGCCTCACAATAAGGTAACGGGCATTATTGCCTTAGCATTCTTCGTGCGTTTGTTAAAAAAACATCCCTTGACGCTGTGAATCACTGCATTGTGGATCAGAGGGAAAACAACCAAAACAGTCCAGCTTGAGCGGGTCTGATTGCTGGCAAGTACAGCTCTACAAATATACAGTCAATTCACTTTACAGTGTGTTCTGTGAAGCGCTTTGGGACGACCTCCCGACGTGAAAAGCGCTATATCAAATGCAAGGATTATTATTATTATTACATTGATAAAGCTCTGCCCATGGGGGGAATTAACAACAGGAGTCAAAACATACCCCAAAAGAAGAGATGGGATTTGCCAAGGGGAGGCGAGAGGTGCTCGTGAACTACAGAATTGCTCAAACAGGGACAAACCAGGCAAAAACAGGATGCTGGGTTACTTTGCCAAATCTGTTGGATTCACATCCCACCCCCAGGGGATCTGCTGGAGCCGGGAAAGACCCAGTTCTGGTCACTGTGACATTTAACAAAAACAAAATAACGAACCGGGCAGGATCAGAGGAAAATACAATTGGGGGGGAAAACTTTCAATTTCCCTGAAAGCTTAAAAAGCAGAGGGAGTGTGGGTGGGGGGTGGGGGTGGTGGTGGTGGGGGGGATCAACCCCTTTCAATTGGGAAAGGGAATCGATTCCCCTTTCATTCTTAAGAACCTCAATTCATCATTTGCAGGGTTTTTTTTGCACAACACACATTCAACACTCACAAACTGACACTCACAACACACACACTGACACTCAACACTCACACACTGACACTCACAACACACACTCACACTCACAACACACACACTGACACTCAAAACACTCACACACTGACACTCACAACACTCACACACTGACACTCACAACACTCACACACTGACACTCACAACACTCACACACTGACACTCACAACACACACACTGACACTCAACACTCACACACTGACACTTACAACACACACTCACACTAACACACACACTGACACTCAAAACACTCACACACTGACACTCACAACACACACTGACACTCACAACACACACACTGACACTCAACACTCACAGTCACACACTGACACTCACAACACACACTGACACTCACAACACACACACTGACAATCACACTCACAACACACACTGACACTCACAACACACACACTGACACTCACACTCACAACACAGACTGACACTCACAACACACACACTGACACTCACACTCACAACACACACTGACACTCACAACACTCACACACACAACACACCCACACACTGACACTCACACTCACACCACACACTCACACCCACACACTCACACTCACACCACACACTCACACCCACACACTCACACCACACACTCACACCCGGGAGAATCACGGTGCCAGCAGTCTCGGGACAGTGAGCTGCTTCGTTTCACGCGACGGGTTGGGAACAGTCCCGACAGACAACATGTCACCCCTCCCCCCCCACCCTCTCACCTGGCCCAGGTTCACGAAGCCGTACTTGGCGGCCAGTCGGTCTGCCTCCCCGCCGCCCCCGGACGGGATCCTCACGGCCCAATGGTTAGTGTAGAGCGGCCGCGGAGACAGACAGTCGCAGAGTGAGATGAGCAAAACCAGCGGAGCCGCCGCCACACCGCCCACCACCACCACCACCATGGCTTACACCAGCAGCCTCCTCCCAGCAGCCGCTTGGAGTGAGTGTGTGGGGGGGTGTGTGGGGGGGTGGGGGAGGGTCGGGGTGGTGCTGGGTTGGGGTTGGGGTTAAACAGCACAGAACATAGCACTGGATCCCAGTGGGAGGGAGAGAGGGAAGGAGAGAGGTTTGTTGCAATCACAGTTGGAAGTCAGCCCGGACTCTGCTCTGGGGGGAGCTCTGGGGGGCGGTGTGTGTGGGAGAGGGTGGGGGTGTGGGGGTGTGGGGTGGGAGCGGTGTGGGGGGGGGTGGTGTATGCACTTTGGGCCAAAGCTCATGGGCAAAGTGCGGGATTCTTTGCGAATGGGAAACCAGAAGTCAACTTCATCCCGAATTTCACCTCTCGATTTTTCCGGCTGCAGCAATCAGGAGAGAGCTCTGCTACCACCACCCCACCCCCCCCCCCATCCCTCCCTCCCTCCCCTCTCTCCCCACCCCCCCCACACACACAGTTCATCTATCAGAGCGGAAACTATCCTCTCATTCCTCACCGGCAATGCATATCTAACCCAATTCTGATGTTTCTGTGACTCGCGAAACAAAAAACCAGTGGCAAACACAGATGATGGATAACCCCCACGTCCCGACTTTTTTTTCACTCTCTCTCTCTCTCTCTGACTCTCACTCTCACTCCTGGTGACTGAGCGATCCCAACATGACAAGGAGCTGTAAACCCTGTATATTTGCACGCTCGTTTTTTTATGTCAGTGGCAACTTTATTTTTTTTCGCGTTTTGTTTTAGTGAAGTGGTTCAGAAACGATAGAACCTGTGAAAGGGACTCAGTCACCAGCATCAGCAGAGACAGCCCCACTGCCAGGTCTGGACTGCAGTGAAGTTACAGTGTATATGTGATGGTAAAGCGCAGCGTAGAGAATAAACTGGGGATACTTTCCTGGACAGGTGAGATGGTGTGTGTGGGGGATACTGACACTTCGATGGTTGTAAACAGAGGCTCTGCTGCTCAGGAATGTCGTCAATGACAGTTTCAGATCTAATGCCATGTTGAACACAGTCAGCCTTGGGTGTCGAAATAAGGATGTTTCGGACAAAATCTGATATTCTCTATCACCCTCACGCGTACGTGTTATAAAATGGAAATCAGAGAAACTATTCGCAATTGGCGCTAAAGGAGAGAACCAGGGACTGACTTAACACTGATAGGGTCGGACCCAGTTTGGCTGTGGCTTCAGTGAAGCCCATGTTGGTAACAGACAGGTCCTGTTCCTCCTGTTTGTGTGAGTTCGGACCTGTTCTGTGTGTGTGGTTACCCGTTGCTTTCGTGTTTGCATAGGAATGCGTGTGGTTCAGTTTGATTTGGGTTTTGATCAACGACAATTTACATTTATATGACGCTCTTCCACATCTGGAGGATGTGGCACAGCCCTTCACACGGCTGACACAAGTGATTCGATGGGATTTAATTCGAATGTGGTTTCATCAAAATGCAAAAAATACAAAGCATTTAAAAGGAAATCCAGTAATAACGATCAGCATTTGAAACTCTTGTTGGCAGCAGCATCGCCCTCTATGCTGTTAAGATCCCTGTACAATTTTCTATGCAGATACATTCTTGCACATCTCTCCAACCTTTATACTGTCAAGAATCCTCCTCAAGAGAAATATGTTCATATCATTTCCTTCTCCGCACAGAGTGGGCAGAAAGGGCAGATCAACCTCGGAGAATATGTAGCATAACAGAAATTATCTCTGCTTCCAACAGATGGTTGATTTTTTTTAAAAAAAAGGACCAAATGGGAAACAGCTTTTGGAAACTTCGACTGAAAACGTTTTTGAAATAAAAAAAAACTTGGCAAAGGCTCGATACACTAAGTTCTGGGAAGTTATCAAAAGAGTGATGATATTTTAATAGCATCCAAATTATACTGAGGTCCATTTCTGCAAAGGCCATTCTTGCGAACAACTTAATCTCAATTTCGTCAGATCAGCTCTAAACAGATGGGGGAAGGAAACGGAGGGGGACTGTCAGGGTAACAGCATACATCATCCAATGTAGGTTAAAACTAAATAAATATGTGGATTTTAATGCTCCATCCACATTTGCTGGTGGCTAAACGTTTTGGTGAAGCTTTGGAAGAATCCTAATCTTATCTCTCTCTCTCTCTCTCTCTCTCTATGTCTATATAGTATATATATTATATATATTAAACTAAACCATATATATTATATATATCTGACGTTCTGACAAAGGGTCGTGGACCCGAAACGTTGACTCACTTTCCTTTCTCCATAGATGCTGCCTGACCTGCTGAGCTTTCCCAGCTCTCTCTGATTTTGTGGCCATTTCCTAAATCGTTCTGCAATAGATAGCAGCTGCACTGCAAAGCGACTCCAACAATACATGAATAACATATGGTCTTTACCATTTGACAGGGTTCACAAGTAACATTAAATCGCATCCTACAGCTGGCAGCCATGTGTGTTGTATAGTGGAAATACGCTTTCAATGAGCAAAGAAAACATCAATAAGGTGTCATATTTGTACTGAACTCTAGAGAGCAGTACCAAAATATTAAGAGAAGACACTTTTTGTTATGTAATGTGACAGAACACACAGACACTACACCACTTTACACTATATCATAAGAATCGGTTTGGGATGTCCTGATGTGGAATGGGCTATATCAAATGTAAGGATTATTATTGTCTTAGTCAAATTATATCACCATCCGTGATAGTTGCAGGCACATCTCGAAGCTCCCTTACTGTTCTGGAGATGCACACAGGGACAAGGTGGTTCCACAATACAGCACAATACCTCAATCCACTTCACGGCCAGTTCTGGGAATAAGTCCATGCACGGACAGGTAAATCAGTCTTGGGAATGCTCACCCATCACTTTGTACACTGAGCTAAGAGGATATTTTAAATTAAATTCTAATTTTTATTGAACTTAACTGGGGTGGAGCGTATTAACTTTCTCTCCCCGCCCCCCTCCCCCATCCCCAACTCCTTCCTCAATTGTGTTCAGTGTTTGACTGGGGGGGGAAAAAGGACCCCATAAAATTCCAGGATTTTATGTTGTGAAAAATGACTACATGAAATTCACATGTGAAAACATAGAAGTCATGAACTTGACTATAACACTGTGCATTGCAGTCAGATAATCCCAAGGCGGGGAAGAAAAACTAAAGGGTGAATCAATCCTTCACAGCTCTGAGCATCTGGTTTCAGAAAAGCATTGCAAAAGCTCATCTTCTGTAATGGAGAAGGTCACGGGGAGGACAAAACTAAGTAATGATAAGGATCAGAAGCAATGGACCATGATATGTTGCTCTTGATTTTCTATTTTCACAGTGGTCTTTGACTTGTATTCAAGCAACAAAGTACTTGCAGAAAAAAAATCTTTGTAACTGCCATCAGTAACAGACCGTCAGGAGATGGGTGCAAATGTCCTATGATTATTTCTCTTGCTACTCAAGTTTTCTAGACAGGCTTGGCTAAAATCAATAAGCTACTGTATGGCAAGCTTTCCCGCTGCTTGTCCAGCTAGGAACATCCTACCCGTTAGAGCTTTGACTTGCAGGATTAACCAGAGCTGAATGGGATGATTCCCTGTGACTGGTCTGCCCTTCCATGTCCTGCCAATGTGCCAGACTGGCCTTGATATCATTAGCAGTGATATGGAGTACTGAGGGCCCGCCTAGCTCAGGAACCGGACTGCTGAGGCAGCCACAGAAGGCTGGCTCGATTCCGAAATGTTTTGTTGCGAATCATGTCACCTAAGAGCCAGTTCAGCTCCAAGGACATCCTACTTACCTACCTCCCCCCTTCCCCGCGCCCCCACCCCTGGTGGATAACTATGTGTGGAATTGCAGGTACAATGGTACACCAATACTGGGCCATTGTAAAAAGTTACATCTTTATTTAAGGCTTTCAATTCTAAGATAAGTAGAAGTTGTGGAAGCAGAGTGCTTAATTTTTTTTAAAAAACAAGGAATTGGAGAGTTGCCTGACAAAGACTAACATTGAAGGCTATAGGAAGTGAGCAGGAGAGTGGATATCTCATGCAGATAAATACCAATCAGAAACAGTGAATCAAATAGCTTGTTTATATGATGTAGCATTCTATAATTGTGCATGAAGAGGCTGAAAAAAACAATTGGAGGAAAAGGGAGAGGGGGGAGAGGCCAGGGTTAGTTGTCATAATAAATGATATTCATAAATAACTTACTTACGCAACCTGTTTTAAAATGATTTATTGACAACCACAGCGGTAACTGTTTTATTAGGATTGGAGTCTCACCTTGTCCTCTTCACCCCAACGCACACTCTGGGGTCTCCAAACCTTGGCTCTTGCCAACCTGCACCTAACATTTTCCAGAATAAGCAAGCAGGATGTGTCCCTCCAGGGAGAGAGTGTGCATTCCATTCCAACAATCTGTCTCTGGGATTTCCATGTGTAAGTCTGAGTTCGGTTTGGATACTCTTAAGCATGGTGATGGGTTTCCGCATGTGTCAGACACCAAAAAAATCTCCCAGAGCTGGTTTAACGTTTGTTGTCAAAGTATAGAGTAGAGTGAGTGGAAAGGGCAAGATTGTCATGAAGCCAACTGGACCACATCCAATTGAGACAATATCAGTTCATTTCATGCAGAATCGTTTGGGATAATGACATTGTATTGTACTGTGGAAAATTTCACAACTGATTTCTACAAGAGATTTCTTCAGCTCGGATCAGGACACTGTACAATTCCTCACTTTATGTATGTGGACGTTCTGTGACTTTCAGAGTTCAATCTATGGTCACAGTGGAAATGGACAAATGGCTGTCTTTGGGCCTCAGCTGAGGCCGGGAATTGGTCAGAGGATTTTGATTGACAGGGGTTCTTTTTGGTTCTCTCAAAACTTTGAGACTGAAATGTTTTGTAATATGTCTAAGCCCTGTTAAAACTGTCTACAGATGTGTAATTTATAAGTTTTGATCCTATTTTACTTTATTGACAGAAGGAGAAGAAACTTGAAAGATGGGTGTGGCCTTTACCGAAATGATTATATAATGTTTGACATTAGTGCCATCTTGTGGTTTGCAAACCAATCCTTCTTCCGGAGTAACTTAAAGCTTAAAACCTTGGCTGTGCATTTCCTCTTTAATTAGTATTACGAATTGAGGCTTTTACATTTTACAGCCTCCATACTTCCTGTTCTGAATCTTTTAATTTAATACTTACCTATGGGTGGGGGGTGTCCATATCAAGTACATCCAGACACTTTGTTATGACTAACACATAAATCATTGGCTGTCAATAGGTGCACATGGTAGAACTTCAGTATTGTGCAAATATTAACAATGAATAACAACATATTGCTGAAAATCCCTCCAACTCGCTCTGCCCTCCCCTCAATCAAGGCTCAAGCCTTTGGTCGTGTTTTCAGTCATCTTTCCCCTCCTCATCCCCTTTGACTCCATCTTATTTATTACTGTGGCCTTTAGAAACATTTAGCAACATTTTTATGTGAGATGGGATGTAACCCTTCTCGGCTGAAGACCTTTCTTTTCGACTGCGCCTTTGATCACTTTCCCACCCCTCCCCCGGCTCGGTCCTGGGATCCTAAACTGTAAAGCGCTCTGAGTCGCCATCCGGCATGGAGGACGCTATATAAATCCAAGTTGTTGTTGTTGTAACCCATCTTAATGCACTATTACACAATATTATGCCTTTGTCTCGATTGTAAAGGATGTAAATATTATGCTCTTGGCACAGACTTTAGCCAATTAAACCAAATGAGTTCACCAACAGAGAGATTCAACGTTACAAAGTTAGAAGTAAACATCACACAAGTACAAACACTAGTAACTAGCAAGAGCCATAGAGCCTGAAAAAGATCTTACAGACAGTTCACAACTGGATGATGAAATGAGGTAGTGAAGAAATAATATGACTGAGTTTGACAATAATCCAGGAGCTGCTCAACTTCCCACCCGAAAGTCACATGTTAAATTAGGAAATTCCCTTCTTAAATCTTTGCCTGGGCGATGCATCAGGGAGCACGCTGTGTCTCTCTCACTTAGAATTAGTTCTGGTTTCAGTTGGAGGGGGAACCTTATAAAGGATATATAAAATTTATGGTATTGAAAAATGTTATGGAAAAAGTACACCCAGAACAATATTTTTGTATACACCAAAAGAGTAGAAGGTTTAGAGTTGAAAAGGACAATTTCATCCACCCTTCCTGGTAGGGTGGTTGAAATTTAATTACCTTCTGAGGAAATAAATACTTGCTTGAGTCTGTCCTGAAATTGCCCAATCCAACTCTAAACATATGTCCTCTTGTTTTATTTTTATAATATTTTTATTGATTATTATTGCCTTGCACCCATAAAATATACAATTAACTTTACAGTATATTCTGTGAAGCCCTTTGAGACGTCTCGACAACGTGAAAAGCCCTATATCAAACATAAGGCTTATTATTATTATTATTATTCTATTGCTTGGGTGCATCTGAAAGTGTTGTCTTGGGTTTCTTTTTTCAATCCAGTTTAAAATGTTCTACACCTCCATAAGATTCCTTCTGAGATGTCTTTTCTCGAGTTTGAAGAGCCCCATTTTGTCTAATCCTCACTCATTCCTCTAACACTGCGAGATCACCCTAGTTACTCTTCGCTGCACTCCTAACACTTAACCAGTGTCCCGAAATAACCAACAGGTTAAAAGAAAAACCTATGATAAAACCACAAAGAAGGTGTGCTACTAAAAGGATCAAGCACCTTTCGTTTTAAGTAGGATTTTGACCGGAATGTTTCATCGACTGTTGGTGGGCCATTGCTGTGCGCAATTGGCCGCCCGGTTTCCTCCACAAAATACACAGTCAATCCACTGTACAGTATAATCTGTGTTATAATCTGTGACATAATCTGATGTCTCAACGTGGCGATAAGGCACCATATGAAATGCAAGGATTAATACTGAGTAGTTCCCCTTTTACCCCTCTACATCTGACACCCGCAGACCTGGGCTCTAAGTATAACTCTGCGACCAACAGGTAGCGCTGTGACTGCAGTGCGTCCAGCACTGGACCAGTAACATACCCTATGCCCAAACCTTGGAGGAAGAAGAAGGAGGAGGAGGAGGGGGGGGGGGGGGGGTGGAGAAGGGGGGAAAGTTTTCCTCTAACAAACCCTGCAATCTACTTTAATTCTGGCTTTCAGCACAAGCCCAAAGGAGTAGCAGTGGGGAGGGAGGTGGGGGGTGGAGTGTTGGTGCGAGTTATTGCACTGAAACTCCCCCCACCAATGTGGCTCTCTCTCTCACTTCCCTTTTTATTTGTCCTTGTGAACTTCTCGATGGTTGCGTTGAAACAGTGACCAGGAGAGAGAGAGAGGGGAGAGAGAGAGCACGACACACGTCAACTTCCCAATTCGGTTCCTTTTCTATTAAAAAAACAGCTGCCACTTCCTTTTTCCTCCTCTCCTCCTCCTCCTCCTCCTCCTCCCACTCCCACTCCCACCCCTTCCCAAATGGGTGGGTGGAGGGGGGGAGAGAGAGAGAGAGAGAGAAAGAGGGAGAGTAAGAAAGAAAAGTCTTGACCAGACAGTGTAGTGGATCGACTTCTCTTTCTCTCTCTTGTGTGTGTGTGTGTGTGTGAGAGAGAGTGCGAGTGAGTGGGTGTGTGTTCAGACGTATCAAAAGTAGCGGAAACCCAGCCTTTTTTTTTTGCGTGTGTGTTAATATTGTGAGTCAAAAGAAGGAGGAAAAACACACACACACAGAGAGAGAGAGAGAGAGAGTGTCTGGGCGAGAGTTCAACTTCTTCCTTCCTCCCTCCCTCCCTCCCTCACATGATGTCTCTGACTGGAGATCGAGTATAATAGAAAGGACTGTGTAACCTTTCCTCTCAAACTCCGCAAAGAGCTTCACCCAAAGCGCCTTTTAAACCGGTGGATCCTTAACTGCCGACTATGGGAGATGTAGGTATCCTACAGACAGCGGAACAAGAGGGAGAGGGATAAACAACAACGACGAGAGGAGAGGAGAGGGGAGGGGAGGGAGGGAGGGAGGGAAGGAGGGAGAGGGGGGAAAAAGAAAGAGAGAGAGAGAGAGAAAAAAATACGCCCTGGGTTTGCATTGCACTTTTTGAGCGTTTGCTGCGTTTTTCAACCGGTTGCCTTTTGCGGGGATGATGGACCCATCGCTTGGGAGTCTGAAGCTGTTTTGTTTGCCAAGAGACCAACTCTCTTGTTCTTTTCTGCTCCCTCCCTCCCTCCCTCCCTCTCTCTCTCCCCTCTCCTTCTTTACCCCCCACCCACCCACTCAACTCCCCCACCAGGGTCTGCAAAGCGGCGAGAAGCAGCGCTGTGCTCAGTCGGGTAAGGCTGGATGGCTTCGGAAGTTTAGTGGGAAAGGACTCCTCGGTGGATCGTGGAAGGACCGCTATATCAGGCTGCAAAAGGCACAGATCTTAGTTTACGAGCATGAGGTAAGGGAGCAAAGGGGGTGGGGGGGGGGGGGGGGGGGGGGAGTGGAGAGTGGTGGGGGAAAGAGGGGGTGGAGGGGGGGGAAAGGGGGTACAAAAAATAAACCCACAAAATTTAAAAGTTGAGATCAGGGCAGATTTTAATGTGTGTTTTTTTTTCCCTCTTTTCTCTTTCTCTCTCTCTCTCTCTCTCTCTCTTTTCTCTCTCTCTTCTCTCTCTCTTGTTATTTCTCCCTCTTTCTTGTTTTTTTTTGAAACAAAAAGGAGGACAAAGCATACGAGGAAATCATCGACTTGAGCAACTATGAGAAGTGCCAAGACCTGCGAGGGTTTGGTTTTAAAAAGAAGAATCACTTAAAGTTTGGTTTGGTGCGACGTTCTGGTGTTAAGGTTAGTTTGAGGACAAGGCCCTTGGATTTATGTGTATATCAGTTCATGTCAACTGTGTCCATTTCTCAGGGATGGAGAGAGGGTGGGGTGGGTGTGGGGGGGGGGGGGTTCTGATCCTTGGCTTTAAAACTTAAAACACCCTTTGAGAAAAGGGACATCAACTTTTGGACGCAAAGGGTTTTTGTGGTCATCTTGAAGACGAGGTATTGCTTCGCATTGTGCCTCCAATGTTATTGTTATTTTCGTGACAAAAAATTACCGAACAGAGCGAAATAATTTGCAGAAAATCAACGTAGGGTGGCATATTGCCACCCTACGTGGTTGTGGTTTAGTCTCTGCCGTTGTTTTCGGAGTCAAAATTTTAGTTTGGGAAATGCCACGTTCTCAGTTTGAAAGTAATTCTGGAGCACTCGCCTCGCAAGCGAGAGACCGGGTTCGATTCCTGGCAGGGCGAAATGTTGGGCAAGTTTCCGTATTCCACACGCCTGTTTACCTAGCAGTAAGTAGCAACCTGTTTGTTAGTCGATTGGCAGATGGCTTTTCCGGGGGAAATAATTCCTTCAAAATTTTTTTATAAAATAATAATAATGAATTGGTCACTCAATCCACGACTGTTTGTGGGACACTGCTGTGCGCTATTGCCGCATTTCGCCCACAAAATATACGATCAATTCACTTTACAGTATATTCTGTGAAGCGCTTTGAGACAATGTGATAAGGCGCTATATCAAATGCAAGGATTATTATTATTGTTAAATCCTGAAAGATCAAAGACTTATTACTTTTGCACAATCACGACAGCAACATTAAAAGATTGTAACAGATCCAAGCAGATCCAACTAATAGTTCCTAAATATATTAACACAAAAACAATGTGCTTTGAGTGCTTGATTCCCAAGGCATAAATAATATTAACCCTAATTCAAAGATTGGAGTGAAGCTGATTGATTTATTGGGCCAGAACAAGTCCTGTTTGTAGGATCCTATTTGTATCCTGTATACCTAGGGTTGTACTTCTTTTAAAAAAATATTTTCTACTGGATATTTCTTTATCAAGTTTTAATGTCTGAATACTGTACATGATTGCACAGAAAGCACAGAATGCAAATTTAATGTGAAAGCCAGACAAGGGCTTTAACATTTAAATGTATTTGTAAGCCTCTGGATGAATACTGTGCTCACTGGAACAGCAAGTTAGTTTGAGACAAATGTCATTAGTTCTGAGAATCGTTTGTTTATACCTGTTTATTTCCTTCGAGGAGACTATATACTGTGCTCACCGGAACAGCAAGATAGAACTAATGACATTTGTCTCAAACTAAGAATCGTTTGTTTAAACCTGTTTTTTTTCCTTCGAGGAGATTATTCCACACTTGTGTGTGGGAAGCAACATGAACGGAATGCACTCTAGACTGTATACCTTCCATATTACACTGTCTCTAATTTTGTTATTCTAAACGCTTTAAACGGATAAACTGCACAATAGGTTTGGTATGTCAAGTTTTAAACAAAAAGACAACAAAAGAAGGCTTGGTCACTAATGCGGACAGGGGAATAGGGACAACAGCAACAAGAAATGTAATTGTTCAAAGGGTCATAATAATAATTCTTGCATTTGATACAGCAGTGTATCACATCAAACCTCAAAGCGCTTCAGAAATTTCTGTAAATTATCGTGACTATATTAAGTGCATTTGAAGGTGTAACTTTTTTTGACAGAAATGCACAAGGTATCATAATATTTTTCTTCGAACTTTCTTGTTGACTTTAGCCTCTAAAACAATCACACTGACAAGTCACACTATTACTTTCAATTCCTGCCGTGTTGTGAAAACACTGCCTTCAGCCCTAATCCTCCCTCCAATCACAATTTATTTTTTAAAAACTTGACATACCAAACCTATTGTGCAGTTTATCTGTTTAAAACATTTAGAATAACAAAATCAGAGAAAGTGTAATATGGAAGGTATACAGTCTAGAGTGCATTCCGTTCATGTTGCTTCCCACACACAAGTGTGGAGTAATCTCCTCGAAGGAAAAAAACAGTTTTAAACAAACGATTCTTAGTTTTTTAGACAAATGTCATTAGTTCTATCTTGCTGTTCCAGGGAGCACATTTATCATTCAGAAGTTTTACAAATGCATTTAAATGTTAAACCACTTGTCTGGCTTTCACATTGTGTGTTTTCTGTGCATTCATGTCCAGTACAGATAAACAGAAAGTACTGCACATAGGAAGTAAAATTAGGAAGCACTTCTCAGATAGGATGGATCTGCCAAGAGAAAGTTGTAAAAGACTTAGGGGTCTTAGGTCTAAAGTCAGAGCAGAGGAGAACAACAAGGTTAATTCCAAGTGTTCAATGAGGAATGATCAGATAAGGTCAGATTTTTCAGCCTTCAGTTTCAAAGGAGAGCTAGTTGAACTCATTAACTCACCATCATGTCAAAACAGTGTGAGGCAGCAATAAACAGGGCAACCAGGATAATGGGCTATACAGTATTGCCAAATCAGTTGAGTTCAGATCCCCCGTAGTTATGCACAAGATATACAGTGCTCTAGTCAGGCTGTATATAGTATGCTGTGTTCAGTGTGATCCTGTGCTATCAAGGGGCTGCCCAGGCCTTTGATTCAGTGCAGAGGAGAGCAATGAAAATGAAAATGGTGGTGTTGAAAGGATGATCTCAGAGCAATGATTAGCTAATACATTAGATAAACTCTTCAGGTTTGAATAGAGACATCTCAGAAGGAGTCTTATAGAAGATACAAGATTCTAATTGGGATTGAGAAAGTAAACCAGAAATCATACTTCTAGATGTGCCAATGTAGTGGAACCAGACGGCACAGGCTCATAGTTGTAAAAAGGAAATTGTGGGACAGAAACCCAAGAANTTTTTTCTTTAAACAGAAGGTAATTCATGATTGAACGGGTTAACATGAAGAGTGTGTGAAGCTGGAATGATTTAAGAAGCTGATTCTGTAATGGTAAGGTGGTATTCAGGAAGGATGAAATCAATGGGCCAAGCGACCTTCTTCGTCCCAACTACTCATGTGAAAATATTTTAATAATCTTTGCTATTTTTATATAGTGCCTTATCACGTCGATGAGACGCCTTAAATTTTTGAAATAGGCACGCAAATAGACTTCTTGCGCACTATCTCCGAACAATGTGAGCCAGGAATAATAATAATAAACAACAAATTACAGTTGCATAGCGTCACTCACGTCAGAATGACATCTCAAGGCGCTGAGTGCAAAATGCAGAAGTGCAAAACGCAAACATTCTTAAAATACTCCCATAAACATGGTACACAGGATGCTGGGATACATTGTCAAATCCCTTGATCTCAAATTGTGAGAAGACTTGTTGAAGTTGCGCAGGGTTTTGATCAGGTAGCACGAGAAGCGTTGTGCACAGATTCTGGTTGCTGCAACATAAAGCCCTAGGGACAATACAGAGGAAACCAGCACAGCTAATCTCCAGTATTGGAGGAATGAGCTGTAAAGTATTATATCATCTAGTGTTCTTCAGCCTTGAAGCGAGATGCCTCAGAGGGTAAACCCAAAACAAAACTTTTAGATACGCTAAGGTAGCAGTACACAATAGCACAGATTTGTGAAAGGTGTTTTTGGACAAATCTCAGAAAAGAGTTTCTTTACATGAACGTAATCAAGAGGTGACACAGGAAGGGTGCAAAAGGCCAGGAGAGTGGATTCATTTAAGAAAACGTTTGATGCTGTAATGGGTTGATGGTTGGATTGGAAGGATGAGATAAAATAGATCAAAGAGTCTTCTTTGTCATTAATCGTGTGACCTTATTAAAAGTCTTCCAGAAATCCATATGCACTGTATCCTGTACCTATCTATATTTTGATCTATACCATATTTCCTTGAAAAATGCTATTAAATCAGCTATGGCGTGCATTTACAGTCATGCTAGCTTTGACTGATGAACCCATGGCTTTCTGAGAATTTGCTGATTTTAAAAGGGTGGAATTCCGGTTACATTATGAAGTGAAAATCCAAGTTAATTCTGGAAAATTGACTCAGATGAATCCCAATATTCATCACACTGAAATCAGCATAGCATTCACAGTGTGCAGCAAACTTAAATTGATGCTTGGAAAATGCATTAATTGATGACTAAAAGAGTCAGAAAGTCAAAATATGTGCACCTGCAAGAGTTTATTTAACAGGCATAGGACTGAGGCCTGCTACATGTTGGCCTACATGAGAGACAAGGTGTCATTGAGCCCCAGGATTCATGTAATAAGAGCAATTTGTTTTACAAACTTTGACACATTTCACAGGCTGTGAATTTGCCTTCATGAAAACGTTATATAAATGAAAGGAATCCTGTCGGAATCACTGTCCACAAATTCATATGCCTTGTAAGGTTACATCTTTCATAATACACCATACAGACAGAAAGACATTTCTGAGAGGAGATGGCGAATCACTTATTATTGATTTGCTGGGAGACTCAGCGAGATATACCTCGATAATTTTAACGAGCAACTGGAAAATAGAAAAAAATAACAACAAATATTATGCCTGGGATCTTCAGATAAGGAAGTGCTCTTTAACTTCTTAAGCACAGCCTCCAGTTCTTAAACAACAGACCATTCAAAGTTCACTCACAGATGGAAAATAGATCAGACGTCATACCAATTTAGACTGCAGAAAGGGAGGCATTTGTAAAGGTAGAAAAGACCAGCATTACTCTTTCCAAAGGCCACAAACCACACATTTACTGCCGGAATTACAACCGTAACAAGTTTAGGAAATGTGTAATAGATCACACTGCATTCTTGCCATCTTGTCTCAAAATGGCAAGAACAGCATTTTCCTGCTGGGTATGGGAAGAAACTTTACTGGATGTTTGAGATGTGATTCATGAACATACATAGAAATTGGATGCTCTGAATGAAATAAATAATAATAATCCTTGCATTTGATATAGCGCTTTTCACGCCTTCTAGACGTCTCAAAGTGTTTCA